TATTTAGAGAAAATGTTTCTCATGTTTACTAATTTTACTTAAGGTAAAACGCTTTTTTTGGCCAACATGTCTGTTTAGAATGGCTGGATGTAACAGTAACTCGGAGAGTTAAAATATTCGTGAATTACTGGTTTTTTTTTCAACAACCAAGAGCAGTGCAGCATGGTGTAACCACGAGTTTGTAATTCTTAGATTTCAATTCGGTCCGTGTTAAGTACGTTCAGTATTAGATTTCTAATGGGTGAGATTTTTCTAAATGATATCTAATTATTTTTATAAAGTCTTGTTATAACATTATGAGCACTCAAAAGTCGGCAACGTACTTGTGAGTGTTGGGTACAATGATGGTCAGACGATCCGCCTGCTCGTTAGCCCGATATTTCATTAAAAATGTATGTTAGAAGGTTAAATCACTTTACTTCAATAACACACAAAAATGAAATTTAAAACAGACAATTTACATTTGCGCCAAAACGGACTTGCAGTATCGATTTCGTAAATCGTTTCTCTCACTGTTCATGAATACTTCAGTCTTGCATAGTTATTTCAAACCTTCGAGATATTTTATTTATAGAAATAGATACGCACATAATCCACATCAAATAATTTATAAGAGCTTCATTATCCATCAAAATAAATACACTGCAATGCCAAAGTGTCATTGTTTAGTTTTGTACCAAAGTGTCAATGAACAGAAAAATGTTATATCTTACTTTCTAGAGATTCGGTCTAAAATTTTTAAAGTTATTATAAGTTATTGTAATGTCTAAAGAGCGTATCATCTTTTAAAAATTTGCTTTTCCTAATGCTGTTGAGATCTCCTGCTACTTCACCTTCACTTCAGATACGCTACGCCATTTGATTGTTGTGACCTTAAATTACTTAGCCCCCCATCCTAAATGAACAATATCGTAATCCATAAAATCCAAACACACTCTTAGTATAATACGAGAAGAATTTTCATTGAAATGACATAAAACTTTGCATACTTGCAGATTAACTTAACACTAGCTGTACTCTGCCACGCTTCGCTGTGTCATATTGTATTTGCATTCACGAAAAATAAGGAACAAAAAATAGATAAAAACCATCATTAAAGTGGGCTGTATATCGTGTCAAACTTTCAGACCATTCAGTACAGAACTTTTTGACTTCACGTGATTTTGAACTTTACTTGTACGTTGAAACGTACACAAACCGACATAACATTTTTATATGTGTAGATTGTGTGTAACAAAGTTCAAAACCACGTGAAGTCAAAAAGTTGAAACTCCGTATTCTAAAAACATGGCTTTGTAATATTTAAAAAGTTCCCTTAATTTCGCCTGAACGTGAACCCCCTCATCAGATTGTAACCTGATGTCAATGTAAACGTACCTATAAAGCGTAAATACCTTTTCAAACACACAAGAATTTTTCTTTATGGCAGTTCAGCAGTTTGCGAATTGTAGAACTAAATCGTACATATAAATATCGAGGAATTCGGAGGCACTAAAACCTTTTTGAGGACCATAAATTGCTTAGTGGAAGAATTTGTTTTTTTAAACCAACTTATCTGAGACTCAATATGTTGCAACAACTACAGAGCAACACAGTCAATACAGATAAAGCAGCTGGTGTACAACATTAACGTACCCTATGTTATAATATATTTGAATAGGATTACATAAAATATCGTACATCTCAAGTAGTCGATGTATTATTGTCTGTTATCATCAGAGAACTTAGCTCGTTATGGACGTGACGCCATTATACAAAAGCGTTACATGTAACCGATAAGTTTAACGACAGTTCCGATTTAGTGCGCATACTGCTCTGATTCGATAGTCGATGAACGTGCGCTCTGTACTGACAGGAATGCAATATATTTGTAATTTTATATCTACCGCAGACACACATTAACTAATGCGAAAGCTAAAAAAATTATCTTATGGTTTTTTTTTTCAAATAACTTACCACTACTATTTGGTAAAACTTTAGTGCATTTCAACCCATTTTCAATACTCTGTTTTCAATGTACCTCTACAGCCTGCTCGAACGCTATGATAACATCTTTCGGCTATGAAAACCTTATCACTTGTCGTTCCCTATTTTAGGTAATAATATAATATATTACTTAAAATATTGTAATATTATTAAGTCACGCGATGCCAAATCAAGATTGTGAGAAGACATAGTTAATTAACTGGTGTGCTCCACTAGTCACAACCACACCTGCTTCTGTTAACACGTTTGAAAAAATATTTAGTTTAACAATATGAATTGATACTACGTTGATTCCGTAATGACATAAACAAGAGCTATCTTGTTACAGCAAAAAAAAAACAATTTGGTCATTTCACTTTTTCTCATTTAGTAACAGCCAGACAAAATTCTTCACCTGTCATTATATCATAAGCATGCTGTGATAACTCTGCACGAAACTAAGTATCGAATTATAATACCATTGCACATGAGTCTGCTTCTGAGTGTCAGTGATGTTTTGCTAATAGCACCCAGCGAGAAAATGTGCTCCTTACGTGCAGAACGCGAAAAACTGTACTCATGTAAAATCTTATGAACGCTTTCTAAATATCCATACTAAACTAAACTGTGATACGGTTGTGTTAGCCATATATCGGCCACCATCGCAAAATATTGATACATTTTTAGAATCAATTAACACAAACTTACATAACTTATCATCGCTTTACTACGCAGACGCAGAAAACATCGTAGCAATTTTAAAATGATGTAATTTAACATATAAACGTCCTGTAACTAACATAGGTATTCTCTTATATTTCTCATTTATTCAATCTTGCAAATTTTAGAATAATCATATACTAGTTTTATGTTAGCTTTAGTAACAAACTTTATATAAGAATCTAATGACAATAAGATGAAAATCATATACAAAATGTAACCTGGATTTTATTCTGATTCTGCAAATTATTTATTTATTTAGTTATTTTATTTATACTAATATTATAAAATCTAAAATGTGTCTGTCTGTCTGTCTGTCTATATGGCTGTCTGTTTGTCTCTCTGTCTGTTACCTCTTCAGTCTTAAACCGCTGAAACGATTGATAGTTTGTTCTTGAGGAAGTAAATATGCGAATTTTCACATACAGTCTTAAATATATGCTGAATTGCCTTATATGTAATTCACCAGTTCTTCTTGCTGGACTTTTTTGTTTTTTGACACAATTTCTTCCACAACCAAAGTGCAACAACATCTTTATTCATCGGACAAAGTTTTGCAACCTCCCTTTAATTGGCTGAAAAGTCATTACACAGTTGCCTTAAAAAAGATTTCGTTTAGGCCTAAACGCTATGCGCGCGGCTGGACCAGCCTCGGAATTACTCCGAATGACACCGACCTCGCGACAACGCGAAGTCGGTGCTGTTCTGCCTAACCCGAAGCTTGGGTAGGTAGGAAATTAGGTCGCGTCACTTATTGCTGCATACTGGAGAAGGTGCAGTTTCTGTGAAGTAATAATGCTTCAGAAAGAGACCGCTGAACGGGATCGGAAGAGAACCGTTTCCGAACGTACAGGACGTCGGCGACGATACCAGCCGTCGACGGGGCCGCAGGCCGCCAGAGAGTGGGGACCGCCGCCGCGCCGGTGGCAGATTGATTGCTGCGGTAGGGGATAGAATGGCAGCCTGTTTGTGTTTTCCCCTGGGATAAATCCTGTCTAGGCATGGTATCAATTCGGGGAGGACCTGAAATGATATGGTCCAGGTCCTCCCAGAGTAGGACACCTGAGGCCGTCCGTCTGGGTGGTTTTTATTGGAATCACCACATACTCCTGGCTCCTAAGTCCCCGAGGAGAAGGAGATCTGAAGGGATTTTCCACCCCATCAAAAAAAAAAAGACTAACCTGTTCGAGGTCTAGCTTACATTCCTCAATACATCAATAAGAGCGGTATCTCTTTCCAGCATTTAACAGGCTTCTGTGATATAGACTTAAATGTATATATGTATTTCTAGATATATTCAGTCAAAAAACCTCTTTGAAAATATAACAACAGCGTTTGGTTTGTCAGATTTGGAAGAGTATCAGTCACAGGTTGACAAACCTGTAATTTGTTTATTATTATATTGTCATACTTTTATGTACTTTAAAGGCTTCCTTTACTTTGACTAGAGCTAGCTAGAGCTTTGGACTAACATGTACGTATAGAAGAAAATAGCGGACTGTCTTTCTTACGGGTGGGCAAAGACAACTCTCTGCCCATCCGTAAGGAAGAGAAGGAAAAATTTGTATAGGACAAACCCGTTTGGCCAGCGTGGTATAGTAGGCCAAAACCTCTTTTTCTAAGGAGAGGCCTATATCCAGAAGTAGACTACTAAAGGCTGTTGATGATGATGATTAATGAAGGAAGAACGGCGTGAGTTTTACTCAAGACAGTATTAAATTAAAATGAGACAATTAATATCTTAATAAATAAATTTCATCTTCTTGATACCGTCCTCATACTATTAATTGTATTTTCGAATTTTGAGTTTTGCCTCTACATACTTAATTCATGCCTAATTCTTTTAAAATCTGTAAGAATAGTATAAGAGTGCCATACTAAATTAAGCCCTCGGAATTGAAATGAAATAAAAAAAACTCTGACATCGCTGCGTACCGGTAGATTACGTAGAGCTCAGACGAGTCTATCAGGCTATAACAAAAAACTGCGCAATAACTCAAAATCCACCTCAATGCGCTTAACCCTTTTCGCTGTCCACAAACCGAATCCCCATTATAAATGGACTCGAGGCTAGTCTCCAGACGCGTTGGGTAACAATGTACGGTATAAAATAAAGTGACTATTTATATTCTTTACGTAGTGTTACAATTTGTGTTCAAAGAAGCAGTTTTAAATAATAAAACGGCCAGAGTGAATTTAAAAATTGATTTATTATAAGACTATATGCTAGAAACCACAACAAAACTTCCTGTATGCATCAGATAAAATTATGTTTTGCTGAAACGGCTAATTCATTTTTATATCACGTGTAAATTTCAATGAAGTAAAATATCATTTGGGCATGTTCCCTTTCGAAGTACACTTACAGCTGAAAAATTTTTTTAAAGATATTACTTAGAATAACAGCTACACTCGATTCCGAATGTACCTCTCATGTTCATCAGGAACTTAACATTTTTAACATTAAATGCATCGTATTTTAACTATAAAACAAAGTAACGTAAAGCGATAAAGATGTCTCATAATACTACTGTTGCTGACTATGTTTATTTGAAAATAATGTATTATGATATGCGCAACTTTATATATGATATGCCTTACTAAGGTTAATCTCGATTAATAAAATATTTACAAGACATTCAGTAGGCTATTTTCAACTTATAACTCTTTTCATAGCCTTTTACAGTTTGTTTTAATGAAGTTTGTAAGTACTAGTAATCTTGTCAATACTCACCCACTCCACAATTACGAGCACAGTCAAACCTGCCTGGATTTCCGTACGTTACACTATTTGTACCACAAACACGATTATATTCGGAGGTTGTCGGGCACGTTTGTTCGCACTGCTTCTGGGAAGGCGTCTCTGTACTAAAACACGTAATAACATCGATAGACATAGTTTTTTAAGGCTCTACCTATTTTGGGATCAGGTTGCCATATCTGAGATGTATAAAATTATTATCATCACTATTCTGGATATATGTAAAACGTATATGTATTTAGAAAAAGTTTTATACTCAAAAACCCTTGGAGGGCTATACAGTTTTTTTTTTAATTTAGAAGATGTGGTGACTATATTTCTAAAAAAAGAACAATCAATCAGCAACTGATCAAGTGGTTTAAAGTATATACACCAAATGAACTTTACGCTATCGATCCAGGCGCTAAGTGAGATTCCATAGAGAAATCATACGGTAACATAATAACACTGTTGTTTGTGGAATTGTCTGTTACTATCGACTGCTGATGCCAGAAAATTTAAAGAACTTGAATACAAATGTTTTTATATGTAAAAATTATTCAGTACACATAGAGAAAACAATATATTACCTATTAAATAGTTTTAGGAATTTATTCCATTATATACGATACATACATACTTTATATTCACTTATTGTGTATATTTTATTTAAGTGGCGTAATATTTATCATGATGTGTTTATTCATCATACTTATATTAGATTAAGGGCCGGTTTTTCAATCCTCAGTTATACTGTCAGACAGCTAACTTGAGCATAAATTTATCTTACTGTTTATCAAGCGAATAAACTTTTTCTGTTTTCAATCAGGTGTAAACAGACAGATAGTTACTTGATGGTGTTTCATAGCTAAGTTCACCGTAAACATGCGTAAGTGAGATGCAGATATACAGTTAGTAACACGTTAGATAAGGATCACAAGCAATTAGACAACATTGGTTTCATTCTTTTCCTGTCATTGCTTGTCTGTCAGATAATAAGAGAACCTTATTAACGATGGTAGTGATGGTGAACAATGATATAGTGGTATGTGTAACGGACTGCTATTCGAATGGTCGCAGATTCGATGCCCGCTATATTCAAACATTCGTGTACATTTACATTTATTTTTTTAATTTTGTCTGGGTGTTTCTATGTATAATATGTCTGTATTTACAAAAAATAAAAGTAAAATAGTATATGTATTTATACTAGTTGTTTAGTACCCATAATACAAGCTCTGAGCTCTTAGGTTGGGACTAGATGGCGCTATGTAAATGTAGTATAGAATACTATTATTAAGCTATTGCATAGCTTCTATCGCGGGCCTTGAGCGTGGAGACCGAATCCAGAAATTCCGTAACGAAAATAACCTAACACCTCCCACTCCGACCGGCACAGCGGTGATACTTTTCATTTTTGCCATCTATCGATGAATAGCAGAATTTTTTTTTTGTGTTACTTTCGTATAAAATAGGATCAATTAAGAAACGAAGTAGAAAAAAAGAAATATTAAATTAAAAGAAGAAGTACGAAGTATTAAATTTCGAGAAATTGCATTTGCTAATAACTTGTAATGAAATTGTTCATCAACACAAGAAGTTATCTTTCTCTTAAACTCATAACAGGCTAGTTGACTCAATTTGAAAACTTGGTTAATTATATACTTTTATATCTATTTTTCCCAAAAAACTTATATTTTAAAGAAAAAGAAATATTTACATTACGTATTTTGTTTTTAAAAAAAACAATTGAAATTTCTCTTGAGAACGCTGAATAGTAAAACTGTTTACATCTGTGTCCAGTGTCAACTGAAACTGTATTAAGGTAAGAAAATATGCTAAAAACGAAAAACAATAAGGAGTTACCTGCTCTGTTGTATGAAAACGTCAACCACAACAGTGATGTTTTGCGTGGCGTGATGTAACACTTTCTGATTGACTGACTTAATGCCTATTTGTTAGTTTTTTTTTTTTAATATTAATAATCTTTAACTTTTATGAGAAATAGACTGGTTTTTTCTTATCTATGTCTCTTCATTTGTAATTTGAAACTATAAAACAAGCAATTTGTTGCTAGTGGACACAAGCCTATTATCTTTCTCTTAAAACCTTTTCCTTTCTCTCAGGGCACATAAAATTAAATACTCAATAAGGGCAACGTATATAAACTTTACTACATTAAATATTAGAGAATGTAAACAAATATACAAAAGTCAAAATCACTATCCTACTTTTAATATCACTAACTGAGGCGTGAAATGTCAGATAAAGTTATTCCTCCGATTCAAGCTTTATTCTTCAGATAACAGCTACCTGGCCATTGAAAAATCCAAAATTACGCTAACTATGGAATAAATTCTATCTAGCTGTTTATCTGACGATTAAAAACCGGCCCTAAGAAACGTTATTTCAATCATTTAAAATACAAAATTAGTATTGGAATATATCATGAATTTTAATATTAATTTATATAATGAAATATTTCATTTTAAAACAGGTAGGTACAGCTGAAATAGATTTAAGTCTAATTTCAAATGAACCTTTACTAAACCCTAAATTATACATCAAAGCTACTCACACAACATAAACTTAATAATGCATTTATAATTTAGCTGCCAGTTATTGTGGTATGTACAAATCACAAAATAATTCTCATTCCAATTACCTGCCATCAAACATTACTTGTCCTATCGGTGAGTTCGATGATGGCACAAATACCGGTTTTCCCGGAATGTCTGCCGAGTCATTAGTATTTGGGCCATTAATTGAATCGATCGGACGATTGTTTGGCAGTTGAGGTCTAGTTGGAGGCAAACCATTAAAATTGCCCTGAAAAACTTCATTCGCTCCAGGTCTATAATTTCCTTGATCCTGATTTATGTCACCCTGATAAGGAAACTGATTTCCATTAGAATTATCGGGGTAGTTACTCTGATGATTATTGTTCGGGGCATATTGATTAGGTCGTATATTATTTCCGGGAAATTGTATATGGGAATTTAATATGTCATCTGGGTAGTCAGGCCTGAAGTCAGAACTTGAACCGTCTGGTCTCTGATTTGGATTGCCTTGAATGTCTTGTGGAGGATATCTTCCATTATGTAAAGGATATCTAGCTGGGCGCCTTGAATCTTCGGGTGTACCTGGCGGTTTGGTATAATCGTCTTGGTGGAAAGGTCTACCTCCATTCGAATAGGGTCTATCCGTGTAACCTGGATACTCTGTTCTATCCGCAGGAATATTATCATAAGGCGGCCGTTGATAATTTGGATTCTCATGCATATTATTAAAACCAGGTCTAAAATTTCTATCATAGTCATCAGGCCTGACATTGTTTGAGCTTGGATATCGCGTATCACCTTGGTAGTCTGGGTAACTATCGGGATAATTGTCGGGACGATTAGCCGGATATCTTTCTGGATAACGAACTGGTTCTTGATACGGTCTGCCTGGGTTTGAGTACTGACCATCGGGACGCCAACCGAAATCTGGTTGAGGACGTTGCATATTACCATTCTACAAAAAAAAAACAATTATAGTTGAAGTTTAATGTTCTAGAAACTAGAATATCACTCATACTTTTATAAAGTCTTCTCTCCAATTTAAGTACGTCGTCATTCTGTCCAATTTAGATATAATATATTTACTATTCAGAAAATGTGATCGCCATCAGATAATGAGTTCAATCGAGCTCGAGTCTGTCTATTCTAGACAATAAAAGAAAATTTTGACTATATTTACTCAAAGGTAGATACGTTCCGTTATCAAATTGCAAAAAAAATCTACAGTCGTTCGCTGTATCTGCGGTTATTAAATTTTCTTTTTATGTTAAACCAACATTCAGAACTGTGGATAGGAAGATATAGATAGATAGATACTGCAGTAGAGTTATCTTGTTTTTTCTGTTATTTTCTTGACTTTCAAGTAGAATAGAATAGAATAAACTTTATTGCACACCAGTTTAGTACATCATAAAATTAATGGGCATGTACAAATGGCGGCCTTATCGCTAAAAAGTAATTTCTTACTGGCGACCTTTGGATAGACAAATCGACTGTTCTCTTAATAAATATAAGTTACACATCTGTTTAACAAATGTAAAGTTATACAATGTATAAGCTGGCGTTACACACTACCCTTACTAATAATAAGTGTGTAAACAATGAATAGTTACAGCCTACGTATAACAAAAACCACTCGAAACATTTGAAGGTGCGTTTGGAAACACGTACTGCTTTATTCTAATGACGTTTGTTCAGTTGGAAATACGTTTACAGCTTTATACTTATGGCTATATAAAACGTATTTATTATTGATAATGTCGTTTTTAAGTTCTTTTTTAAACAAATTAAAAATAAATTTATGTTTTATTTGCTCGAGAACGCAACTGATATAAGTTAGCGTGGGTGGGTAGGCCGCCAGGTGGTCCGACGACCGACGGCAAAAAATGTCGTAAAAGGTATATTCCTAGTATCACTAAGACTAGAAGAGCAGCAACTTTCATTTACAATACGATATAATCACATTACAGACAACGTTGGATGTTTAATACTTTATTTATTTATTTATTTATACGAGAGTTGACCTTTAGTACAAACTTAAAGTTCTTTTGACATTCCACCACCTCAAGCTTGCTGTTTAATAATATAATCACAATTAATTCAATATTTTTATTGCATATCTTTTGCAGAACCTTATTTTTGACCGAAACTCATATTCAGATGTACAGAAATGATCAAATCGATTTTTGTAACATTTTCTTTTCTTGGTGGATTTTCATTGTCAACTTCATCAAAAATATCGAAATATTGTAAATAATCCATGCTTTTCAAACTGAATATAACTAAAGCAACAATTTTTTTTAGGTTACACGTTTGCTAAACAAGCCCTGAGGGCTGTATAACGGTTGTATAAAATCTCTTATTTACGAACATCTGTACACCAGACGTATACAAACGAAACGTCAAATATTGTTTTCTTAATAACGTTTTTTTTTTATAACCCTGGTATACGTCGTGTAAAAGTTTATTAGTAAGGCTGTTAGGTTTTGTGTGTAAAAATGTAGAAGAATTATAAAATATGTATACAGCACATGGCATTAGATTTCAATCAAAAGTAAATAACAAAAGTAGTTCGTTATAATGCAGTCAGTCCTGGCAATACTTACCTATTTAAATGTACATCTTTACATAGTATAAAATAAAGTCGCTTTAGAGAGAGTGATTCAAGAGGAAGGTTTATATGTATAATACATGCATATTAGGTATAGTAGATAAAAACCGAAAATTTCATATATTGGTATAAAACACATGGTTTTGTGCGCTTACATTGCAAAAGCTGGTTAAGCCTTACGAGATAGACTAAAATAATGTACTACGGAATTGTATATCTTAAAAAGATCTACTAATAATCCCGCGATGGTAATTATTATCTCTTTAAATAGGTATTACGAATTAAAAGCTATATTATTTACGAAGCTATTTTAAACAACACATTATTATTCCTTATCCAAGGAAATTCGTTACATACGTTGTGCATTTAATGTAATTAAAATTGCTCTTTTCATTATTATGAATATTTTAGAAGATATTAGAGGTTTAAAATGCGGTGGCACAACAAACATCGACCCATACGTACGTCCCGGGTGGCAGCGGCAGGATCGAGCGGGCCTATAAATATTGGATTCAAAGATGTCCTGTAGTATAGTCCTATCAAAAAAATAATATAATTACTCGTAATTACTCCACAGTGACACCACATTGCACCTACATTGCACCTGTACACAGCCAGGGCGGATCGCTATTTAATATATATAAATAGTCCGTAACACATATTCACATTATATAATATCAATAATACATACAATACAAATGCTGGCGAGCATTTATTCATTGAAATCTCACTCCAAAACACAAAACTACTTCTCGGTGTATATTATAGTCCCTCCTTACGAGTAGACTATTTTTCTTCACTTGAAGTTCTGTTAGAAAACCTAACCCCCTCGTACAGTCATACTATAGTCATGGGTGACTTTAACACCTGTTTATTGAAAAACGATTCTCGTTCTGCCACCCTTCGATCTGTTATTAAATCCAGCAATCTTTCGATTCTTTCACTTAATCCTACACACAATTTGCCTAACCGTAATTCATCTCTCTTAGACCTCATCCTTGTATCCTCTGTAGAGCACGTGGCTAAACATGGCCAGTGCTCCGCAGATTCGTTTTCCTATCATGATCTTCTCTTTCTATCCTATATCATTCGTACTCCTAAACCTAAAGCTAAAATAATCTCACACCGTAATTTTCGAAATATGAATGTCGAAAATCTTCGCAGAGATGCTGACAACATCGACTGGAGTCCACTTTTTAACTCCCAATGTGTTGACGAAAAAACAGACATCTTTACAAATAATTTAATGTACTTGTACGACAAGCATGCGCCGATGCGACAAATAAAGGTAAAACATCTCCCTGCTCCTTGGCTTACTGGCGAAATAAAGGAGATACAGAGAAAGAAAGTAAGAGCTCAATCGAAGTATAAAAGTCACCCTACAGCATCAAACTGGGCAAAATTTGTGCTTATTAGAAATCACTGCAATAAGATGTGTAGGAACGCTCAGCGCCGACATATCCACAAATCGGTTGAAAACGGTGACCCAGTTAAGGTCTGGAAGTTTCTTAAGTCCTTGGGAATCGGCAAGTCACGTCCAAACTGTGCTTCAAAAGATATTGATATTGATTCCCTGAATTCATATTTTTCTGCTGCCTCCGTTTACAGAGCGGCTACCAAGACTACGACGCTGAATTATCTTTCTTCTCTGCCGATTCCTGACTGTTCCCCATTCTTTTTTAGTCAATTTGCTGCATGTGATGTAAGGAAGAGCATTATGTCAATAACTTCTACTGCAGTAGGAAGCGACAGTATCAGCCGTAAAATGGTTCTTCCTATCCTGGATGAGATCCTACCTGTAATTAGCCATATTCTCAACTATTCCATATCCGTCAACGTTTTTCCTTCTGCATGGAAAATGGCTCAAATTATTCCTCTCCCCAAGAAATGTAATCCGTCCTCCTTTTCAGATTACCGTCCCATATCTATCCTTCCTTTTCTTTCCAAAGTCCTCGAGCGTCTCATTCACACACAGTTAACCTCATTTCTTTCAAGAAATTGTCTCCTCAATCCTTTCCAGTCAGGTTTTCGTCCAGGTCATAGCACTACAACAGCTCTAGTCCATATTACGGACGATGTTAGGTCAGGCATGGACGAAGGAAAGCTAACGGTCTTTGCTTTACTCGACTTCAGCAACGCCTTCAACACTGTGGATTTTGATGTCTTGCTGGGTACATTGTGCTCTCTTAACATATCTCCATCGGCAATTGACTGGTTTCGTAGTTACCTGTACGGTCGCCAGCAGCGTGTTTGTACTGAAAACGTTTATTCTTCTTGGCTCACAACATCTGCGGGCGTACCTCAGGGCGGCGTGTTATCACCTTTACTTTTCGCAGTTTTTATTAACTCAATCACAAATCAATTACTGTCTTCCTACCATCTTTACGCAGATGATCTCCAAATCTACTCACAAGCTACTCCAGATAATTTAACAAAAGCAGTGGATGCCATAAATAGAGACTTAATGCAAATATGTAACTGGAGTAGGGAGTATGGCCTAAGCGTAAACCCCACAAAAACACAGGTGATTATTGTAGGTAGTCCCAGGCTACAAGCTAAAATAAACTTTCAGCAAATACCATTTGTTTGTTGCAATGGCTCGGTTGTACCTTACAGTGAAAAGGTAAAAAACTTGGGGATCCACATGGATAGGTACCTATCCTGGGGCCCCCAGGTTGGAGAAGTTAGCCGAAAACTATTTGCAGCGGCAGGATCTCTGCGAAGGCTACGGAACTTCCTTCCCACCTATACTAAAATTGCGCTCGCACAATCTCTTCTTCTTCCTATCCTTGACTATGGCGATGTCAGCTATCTGGATCTCACCGAAGACCAACTGAATAAACTTGAGCGACTCCAAAACCTATGTATTAGATTCATATTTGGATTACGCAAATATGATCACATCTCAGAGTATCGTTTTAAACTCAAGTGGCTACCAATACGCTTTCGCCGGAATCTTCATATTCTTTCTCTTTTATACAGTGTTCTGTTTCATCCTCGCACACCCTCTTATCTCAAAGAACGTTTTCAGTTCTTACACAACACACATTGCAGGGACCTAAGGTCATCGGAGAATTTAAAACTAAAAATGCCGCAACATTCCACCCAGTTTGCTGACAAATCTTTTACTGTGCAAGCAGTAAGACTTTGGAACAACTTGCCTTTGACAATCCGGCAAGCTAAAACCTTGCCCGCTTTCAAAAAGCTAGTGAAGGATTTTTATCTGACATTATAAATACTGTTGGTTTCTTTATATATGGTATATATTTCGGACAGTATATATATATGTTGTGTGTATGTCTATTGAATATGTATATATATGTATATATAAATATGTATATGTATATTTATAAATTTTGTTTATGTATGTGTGTATGTATGTATGTATGTATATGTATTTATCTATGTGTAGTGTGAACAGGTGTTTATTGTGTATGGATGCTTTTGTTTATATTTTAAATATTCACGTGATATGCGTTATGTGTATGTAAACTACTCAACTTTTAAATAACAAATATCCGTATCAAGGTTGTCTGGAAGAGATCGCCGTGAGCGATAAGACCGCCGATTGTTAAGTCTATATATTTGTAATGTCTTATGTGCTAATTTGAAAACAATAAAGATATAAATAAATAAATAAAATAATTACATAATATCTACATTTTAATTATAAAAGAATACAATAAATATAATATGGTTTAAGTATTTCATTTTAAACTCAAAATCTCATACTTATTTTATCCACTCGATTCTATATCAGTCAAAAATAAATGACCCTATTTTAATAACAACTATTTTATTATTTAACCTTGTATTTTCAAAACAAAAGTTCCAATTTTCTTATTTCTTTGTTGATTAAATACTTCCAAATAAAATCTTACCTGATTGCCATTAGGGAAGAAGGAATTCCCAGGATAATTACTCGGTGGGTAGCCGTTTCTTCCTGGTTTTCGCAAGTTTGGATGGCCACGGCCCCCACGGTCGAAAAACCTCGAATCAACTGAAGTTATTTCGTCCCCTTGATTACCGCCTTTGTCGGCAACTTGTGCATCGAGAAACTTTATTTCTAGAAAAACTGTAAGGGAATGAGAGATAAAGTTTGGTCTTTATAAGTTACTACTGAAAAAAAATCGTTTACATTATGTCTACGGATATAGTTGATTTATTTTATTTCACATTTATGTTCATTTAAAAAAAGAATAAGTTGCATAAGATCAAACATGCGTAAATGTGATTTATTGTCTATCTGTATAAATATATTATCTTTCAGTCAATTAAGGTAGTACTTTAAGTACTGTAGAGGTTTTGTTTAAATAAGTAATTAATTTGATGAGTAATTTACGAGAGGTATATCTATCGTAATCGTAACACAACTCACGACAGGTCGATGAGAATCAGAAAGATCAATGTGATTTAGGAATTATTTTCAAATTCAAAAATTAAAATACAAATAAAGTAATGGCTTTAATTGGCATCAGTGTAACAACGTCAAACGGGCAGACTCAGATACTTTACATTAAATTTATACTTACCTAATAAGAATACAAATGTATCCGCTCCAATATAAATCATTGTTCTCATTTCCGTTCTATACAATATACCCTATTAGGTTATTATTATCATTTTCAATTATAGGCTGTGTCTAAACTTTACACCAGTTTCTTTTTTTATGTTAAAATATGAACTGCTAGCTGCTTCGCACGTATACAATTACGAACTGATTGTTAAATCTGTTAACTATTTCATGAGTGACGAATAATTGAAGAACATTAACATGTAATTTATTTATTAGGTATACGATGTATATATATAACCGGATTGCTGATTAATTACAGAACAAATTATGATATATCGTTATGGGTTTTACGTCAAAACTATATTTCTTAACGAAAATTCCAAGGTTGGTATTTATAACGTTAAGGTATTATGAGTCACAATATTAACATTATGACACAATTTGTGATATAATGTTACTTTCTCCATTTTATACCTATAATGAAAGGATGCTTCGGGGATCACCTGTGTCTGATCCGCAAGGAGCCAACACATGAGTGCCACCACTGCGATGGCTGGACCGTGGGCACGGGGCTCCACACGCTGGCAGAATGCCTGGCGTGGGTAGAGCAGAGGTGCGACCTCATGGCGGCCATCAGAGTGGAAGTTCTCTCGTCCGATGACATGATTGCGGCCATGGTGCGGAGCGAGAGTGCGTAGAACTCTGCCGTCTCTTTCTGCTAGCAAGTTATGCTTGGGAAGGAGCCGGAGGCGTTGGGCAAGGAGAGGTTTAGAACTCTCGTCAGGTCAGTCCATTAGTCGTCACGTCAGGCCAGGTACCGCAGACGACTTAGGCGTCGGAGGTAGCAGAACGACCTCCGTCCTCGATAAGCGCAGGCCTGGCAAATGCGGGCCTGGGTGTGGTCGAGACGCAATGCGGGGCGCACGCGCCCTTTCGGGAACACAAAGGGAACATGGGGGTTCCCACACGAGAGGGTGTCATGTACCCGCCGTAGATGGCCCAAGGTACGTCAGGGTACCAGGAATTGCCTTTCTAGAGTACACCTGGTTCCCCGGCTACTGGTACCCGAGACGGCGTGCGGTTTTCGGCTAGTATCTAATAAAACATAAATGTATGTGTCACTTGATCTATATTCTCCAAAATGTACTGCAGCTCCATCTAGCTAAGACAACTCGAACTACATACTAATTACATGTGTTGTCCACGCAAGGACTTTCTCTCCTACACATACTTCTTCCCGCCTTAGGCCATTCCCGCTACACTAAATCGTATTCAATTTCTCAACTTATCTTATCCATAAAGTAGGTATCATTTATTTTTTTACTTTTTCGATATTATTGTGAGATTAAGATAAACAACACTAAAATTTCATGAAGAGTTACCTACCGTTACTATTTTTAACACCCTAACTTATAAATTTTATTTTTATAAATAACAACTATTGCCTATTATTAATAGGTTAATTGTGGGTTTAACCAAATCATCAAATTACGTTACGTCTGCCTACTTTCATCATATACTACGGTTAATCCAGTGAAATTAACAGAGCGCATCGACCGACACAAAAGTAGGGAAAAATCTGGCTACGTTAATTATAGCTGTGCCCAACAACCGGTAAATGTACCCTAATAATACCATTCATTAAAAAGCTATGTGGCATAAAGAACGAGTGCTTTCCTTCCCTCGAATGTGTCGAAAAATAAAAAAGGTCACGCTAACAGAAGAGGTAATTACCATTCTAACATTAATGACAACGTTTCTTCTTTTTAACCGACTTCGTAAAAGGAGAAATTCTTAACTTGTTACAATCTTTTACATTGTCAGAAGACCCCATTTTCTATGCCTAAATTGTTCATGTTGAGAGAAGCCTTTGCCCATTCATATTTTGATTAGCGTTTAAATATTATTAAAAAAGCTCTGAGCAGCTCTCACAGCCTAAATATATATATACATATCGTTAAATAAATATATGTATATCGTTCCACACGGCAAAATTTTCATCCTCATTACCTGGATAGTTGGCGCTCCACTACTGTGAGCTTTTCGAGACACTTTTTGTCCCGAACGAACCAATCTGTGGAACGAGTTATCGTCTGCGGCATTTCCGGACCGATACGACCTTCAAACCTTCAAGAAAAGAGCGTACTCCTTCCTAAAAGGCCGGCAACGCGTTTGTGACTCCTGAGTTGTAGACGTTCATGGGTGGCGATGGTCACTTTCCATGAGGTGACCCGTCTGCACGTCTGCCCCCCCCAAACATAAAAAAAAAAGATACTGAGGATCAGAAACTATATTCGAAATTGCCCTCGTCGATGCCGAATTGCCCACAATGATACTGTTATGGTAGACGTTAACCCACGGTACAGAGTAGAGGAACTAATGGAATTCTCTAGAAAAAATCGACCATTCCAGATGTTTCACAGCCTTCTATAAATTTTCGGAAGATGGGTTAGGTTAGGTTTTCGAAACTTTTCACAAAGAATCTGGTAATAACCCAACTAACTGGAGTTGGGTTATTACCAGATTCTTTGTGAAAAGTTCACTAGCCTTCTGGAATGTTCTACTAATTATACCTGCAATACAAAAGAGAGCCGCAAAACATATTCTAGTTCTGCGACATATCAAGTAAACAAGAGTGAAGAATAGCGGATAGTTGTCCACAATAATACACCAATATCACTGAGATTTTTGTAATATGCTAATTATTTTTTGACCGAAAGTGAATTATTGCAGTAATTATTTATTGATTCAACATACCAATCACGATAAACTTACATCACGTTGTCCAAAATATTTATATTGACAAAGAGATGAGAGATAATTGATAGATGTAAAAGAACTGAGAAGTCTAGATTTGTCTAGTTTGAATACGGAAATGAGACTGTGATTAGTTTATTTTCACAAAGTAGATTCAAATTATTAAGAAATTAATTAATTCCTGTATATTTTTTCTTTATTTAATGCATAATAATATATGTTCCCAGCCATTTATTTTATTTTATAAGCCAATAAATTTGCAAGTAGAATTTTACAAGCACGTCGCTTGTAACCATGACTTTAATAAAGGGGGAGCCATGCTTCAGAACAAATGGGCCGGCTCAACTAAAGTGACAGATATCAAGTCCTCACAGAAAACCGGTGTTGCCTACTACCGAGTGAGTGAGAGTATCGGAGCCCAAACCCCTCCTAAGCCAGATTCTGGGGCTCCTCCTCCCTCAAAGGGCAGCAACAAACTTGTGACTCTGGAGTTGTGCCTTAAAAAAATAACTTACAGAATAACGTATTGCCTAGTTTACAAAGGATTTTTATTAAACCATTTATTATCAACCCTTGATTTAATGATTAACCAAAAAACGTGGATTGGTCCATGCTACGGGAAATTACAGGTCATAAGGGGCAATATTTTTATTATATATAATAATAATTGTATTATTCGTAGCCACTACTATACGGATGTGTAGTTAGTTAAGACTGATCAGTTTGCAGATAAGTCGTGATGAGATTTCAGCCAGCACCGATTTGGACTGACTGCAGCCGGGTATATTTTTCCACCTTCGGTTGTGTGCATTACGAGTCCGCTATCCTATTCGGGGTGAAACTCCAGAATTTGCAGTGGCAGAATTGTGGTTTTACCAGCGTGCCAAGGCCCTTAGCAACTTATCTGACGTTTCCGTGTGAATTACTATGCGAGATTCACCTTAAGGGCAGCTTTTGGTGTTTTATGCATGGAGCCAGTGACCGCAAAGTAATCAACAGCCTTTTTAACAAACCCAGCGTTCTCAACTCTTTCAATATTGCGAACCGTGAAAATCGTGTTTATATATACTACTGTTGGACATAGGCCTCTCCTTAGAAAGGAGTTTTTGGCCTACTATACCACGCTGGCCAGACGGGTTGGTGTAGGGTTTGTTTCAAGTTTTTCTTCTCTTTGCAGTGCTGTTGCCTTGCGTAGTTTTCTCCCTTAGTCGACTTTTATAACGGGGATGAATAGGGATGATGACATTACGTATTCTTAATCCGGCTACACGGACGTGAAGTAAAAGTGCTTAACTCTGTTTTCTGCCATCAGCAATAGCACCGTACGTGATAATTGGCTGTATGACTGTTATTATCATTGGTGACAATCTTCTCGCTTTAAGTTTTGCTTCGAGGTGCCTGTTGTATAGGAGTTTACTGTTAAGTATTGTTTCTAGGTATTTGACCTCCTTGGTAAGGTCTAATTCGGTGTCAAATAGTTTAAAAAATCTATGATATACTAGGCTACTTTCTTTGTGAACATGATCACATCTGCTTTTGATTGTTTCACTGTCAAATAATATATTTCACATTACTGATCAACGACTTTCAGTGCGAATCTCAGCGGGTGTTACAATAATATTAATAATCAATGCAATGGAGCCAGTATCAATTTGAGACATTGATATAGCTTATGCAGTTCGTTCGCTACCGAATTGGAAGTCAACGGGACCGGACGGACTGCATTACCTTTAGTTAAAGTGGCTCCGTAGCTCACATGTACGTTTGGCATCTCATTTTCAATCATGCCTAGAATCGGGTTCGCTTCCATATTTTATGACTATGGGAGTAACTCACCTAGTCTATAAATCTGGTTGTGCCACGGGTCCTAAAAATGACAGGCCAATAACGTGTCTTCCGACGTTATATAAATTACAAACATCCATTTTGAGAGTGAAGATAACATCTCATATTACGAACAACTCTATTATATCTCAATCTCAGAATAGATGTAGAGGTGGGGCATGTAGCACTAAAGAGCTCCTTATTATTGACATGACTATTAACCAACAAGTTCTCAGTAACCGAAAAGATCTGGATGACATGTTGGATAGATTATAAAAAGGCTTATGACCCTGTACCGCATACGTGGCTCTTGAGGTTGATGGAGTTGTACAAAATTGATACAACTCTATTCACTTTGTTATCCAGGATATCGGCAATCTCAAGGCGATGGCGAATATATAATGATTAAGGGGGGTATATTTCAGGGTGATAGTTTAAGTCCCTCGTGGTTTTGCTTGGCTTTGAATCTTCTCAGCACTATGTTGGAGGGTTCAGGGCTAGGCTATCGTTTGCAGAGAGGTAGTAAGGTTATATCCCATCTCCTTTACATGGATGATTTAAAACTGTTGGCTTACAGTAATTCCGTACTGATAAATTTACTAGACATAACTAAGACCTTTAGTAAATGTATCAGGATGGAATTTGGTGTAGCTAAGTGTGCAATCATGCATATAAAAAGAGGCAGGGTTGTGGAGTCTGATAGATACGAACTCTCAGATACCACGCACTTTAGGTGTCTCTCAGCTTACGAAACATACAAATATCTGGGTATGTCACAGACGTTAGGTGTAAATGAGTTCACTATGAAACAATCGTTACAGGAACGCTTCTTTGGCCGCCTGAAAAAAGTATGAAATACATGATACTTAGATGAACTCAGACTGAACTAGATACCCTGGATAGAAGAGTTGGTATATTGCTTACTGCGTACCGAATGCATCATCCACGTTCATCGGTGATGAGGTTATATATTCCACGAAAATGTGGTGGTCGCAGTTTTCTAAATGCCAAGACCCTCCACAATCGCGAGATATGTAACCTCAGGGATTACTTCCTTTTTGTTAATGTGGATATGCATAGGGATGTAGTGGCAGTTGATAACGGACTCACTATTTAGCTTCTGGTTTACGAGTAGTATTAACTGTTAGTGGTGCAAGAATATAAAAATAATTACATATCGAACTTTAATAAGAAGCCAACTTGGATTTATATAATCAAGAACGCTTAAGCAACAAAAGACAAAACTCAAACTTTTAAAATTAATCCCCAACTGATGCATAAAGCGTAGCGAGCTATTAGTGTAGCGAGGGATTAAGACAAAGGTTTTTCTGCTCACTATTATCGTAGACGGCCTTGCTGTGAATGCATCTACTGGTACATAATCTAAGATTTCCAAATCTGTTAATACCTTTACCTTAGGTTGATACTCCTAGCAACACCAATTAAATCGCATGTACTAATAATGTGTAAACTTGTTTTACTAATTTATTTAGGGGTAAAGTAATTAAAAGTGCATTACATTGAAGACATTGCTTGCAGAGGCATAACCATAGATTTTGTATAAGTTTTTTTTTTAATTAAATTTATTTGCTTACTATTTGACAAAACAGAGATTGTTGCTAATGTGTGTGTCAATCTATGACTTTACAGTCTACATAAAAGACGATTTCAAACAATTTTAATTTTTTTATGAATTAGTTTGAGTTTGAAAAAAAAAAAGTAATGTTATAAAATAAGAAATATTGAGAAGACTCGTAAATAAAATATTATTGTTTTGACTGGTATTTATGGTAAAAATCATGCATGACATTCCATGTTAGAGGTCTATGAACACATATTTTATCTGTGATTTGATTCCCATAGAAAAGGCGAGAAGTTTCCGTCTCCAACCAGGTGTCAATTTATTTGTTTTATGCGGTGAATGCATTACGGTGTTTTCATATTTTAATCGAAAGTGAGGAAATTTTAGTTGTATCAAACCTGAATTTTATTTTACACCTTACTACATGATTTCGCCATCTTGTTTAGTGTTAAATAAGTAAAATAACGACATAACAAATTTCATTTTTTCGCCGGTAGCTTTATCAGCGATAGACCAGAAAAATGAGCTGTCCATTCAACGACGAAAAGCTTGCACAGCTGAAGGCATTTGTGGACTTCTGCTCGGGGAATCCTCAAATCCTACATCATCCTAAACTAGTTTTCTTCAAGGATTACTTAGTATCGCTCGGTGTCGTACTTCCACCAGTCGCAACATTTGAAGCACAGAACTCAACTCCGTCCGGCGATAAGTAAGTTGATTGTGAATATTTCGAGTAATATTATTCACCGAAAACTTGCTTTCTTTACAAAAGCTTTCAATAATTCATCCATATCAATTTGACATTTCAGTCTTAACATGACTAATGAATTATTCAAACACGAAAGTTAAAAATGCTTATCACCTATGGGTGTGTATGTCGAAATTGTAAGCATAGTAGTGTATAATTGATGAATATGTAAAAGTTATTTTGAGATACTGTTTCATAAATTGTGTAATGATATAGTTAGATAATTTGTAAGAAGTTAGATATTGTCTTGTCCTTAATTAACAACAACAAAGGATTCCTAGAACACCTAATTTTGTAAAGTATTCTGAGGACAAAATGTCATTAAGGTTTTCTTAATTATTGTTACTAATATTTAATTTGGTGTATTTGTTTTCACTAAAATCTAATAGCAAGCTATAGTTAAATGACTTACAAAATTAAACATGTTTACTGGTTTTATCCAACATCAACAATTGTCATGTTCACACAATAGCAAATCACATCACATAAGGACACAGTTCACATCATCACTCTAAATTGACTTTTTTAGTGTACTATAAGAGTACCAAATATAACTTACTCATACAGTTATCACCAATGGAAGAAGTGGTTCATGGGCCAGGTTCAATATCTTGATCAATCAATCACACAGACAATTATCCTTAAACCAAATGTATATTTATGTATTTATTATAGACACACCAACATATACAATATTGTTCAAAATGCAGTTTAATATATGGGATAGTTCTTATATATAGACTAAATAAAGGCATGTACAGATCACACATCATTAGAATGACACATTCAAGCAGTAGCAAGATCAAGACTAAAGTGAGCTAAGATGTATATTTGAAGAATGCTGTGAACCTTTGACACACAATAATGAAAAAATATTAATAGAAAATAGTTTTAAACATTATTTAAATGAAATGATTTAAATAATTACTTTTAGTGCTGCTCCTAATAAGCATGCAGAAGAAGCAAATGCATCATCTGGAGAAGAATCTGCACCTGAGTCTGATGTGGAATTGGATATGGAAGGTAATCTAATAATATTTTGCATTTGCAGTACTATAAATATTTCACTTAATAATAACTTGACCAACAGGCTTTTCAACACACAAAGTAGAACAATCTACAGTTAATATAAAGTACTCATACTTTTCAGTAGTGTTTATGTTACATCTGATGTTCTACTTTTCTTTTCTATTCAGGTGTCATAGAAGGAGATGCACTTGAAGACTCTCAGATAATGGGTGATGACTCAAAGGAAGTGACAGATGAAGAAAGGGACCAATCAGATGAGAAGAGAACAGAAGCAATGAAAGCTTTCTCAGAACAGCAATTTGATGAAGCCATTAAATTGTACAGTGAAGCTATAAAGCTCAATCCCCAAAGTGCTCTTCTATTTGCAAAGAGAGGACAGGTGATACATTTTTAGTAGCTACTATTATCCATACAAATATTATGAATTCGAAAGTGTGTCTGTCTGTTCTCTTCACTTTTAAACTGCTGAACCGATTTAGATGAAATTTGATGTAGAGATAGTTTGAGTTCATCCTTTAAGGGGGTGAAAAGGAGGAAGTTGGATTGGATGGAAGTTTGTATGGGGAATCAATAACCGCTAAACCGATTGAGATGAAATTTTAATTCTTGAGCAAAGACAGGCCACTTTTTATTGCAAAAACCGACTTACACGCGGCTGAAGCTTTACTTTAGGACAGACTGACTAAGACACCTTTGGTTTGTTTTGGCTTTTCTTCCCAAAGTGAGTCTTAGGAAATGCCGGTGCCTTCTAGCTCTGAATATCTGAAAAGATTTAGTAGGTTTTAGATTTAGAACTAATGTGGGCATTTAAAGAATCATCATCAACTCAGCGAAAAGACATTAACTGTTGCACATAGGCTACCCCCAAGGTTCTCCACAACAACCAGTCCTGTGCCACCTGCATCCAATAGCTACCCAAAAGAAATGTAAAAAAAATACTTATGCTTTTTTCTATATAAAAAATAAATGTGTGTAAGATTGTAATTATAGTACATTGTACAACTCATAGGGACACATCAGTGCAAAAGATATAGAACACTTAGCAAGTTAATGTCTAGAATTACGAGATTGATTTCATGTGTGTATTCAAACTACAGCTAACAGATGTGTCTTGTCTGTGTGAAATGGCGCTGTTTATGAATCAATAAATTTATAGTTATATATTTTCAGGCATACCTAAAGCTGAACAAACCAAATGCATGTATCAAAGACTGCACGCGCGCACTCGAGCTGAACTGCGACAGTGCCGCCGCTTATAAATTCCGTGGACGCGCTTACAGGTACATAAAATTAGTTACGACATTAACTTAGTAGACGAAAAAATATTAGTTCATCATTTATGGTATAGTATTATAATTTTAGTAGTGGTAAAAGTATAAAGGCCAGGTCCTCAATACTACTGATAAATTTAGTGGTGTGTAAACTGTGATGAGTTTAAGTAATACAAAAGATCAGGGCCCCAATTCCGCTATTTTATGTTCACGAGAAACCACTGTCATACCACTGACACGCTATTGGATATGCCATCGAGTGGCCACTGACATCGGTCAACTTTTCGGTAATCTGCTAAAATAAATTCACAATGTGTCAATGGACTGTCGGTGTAGTGACAATGGCTCATCAGTGGTAATATTAACAACATTGCCATATCTCGAAAATGAAATATATCATTTCCTTACAAATTTAAAATATAATACGTTTTTATTTAAACATTATATAAGCTTTTTAAATTTATATTAATTGATCATATTTTTGATACAAATGTATAAACGTGGTTATAACTACATAAAACACCGTAAAAAATTAATTATCGTTGGCTGCTTGCAAGTGTTATTGCCACACGAAAAAAAAAGTTACAATATCTAATATCTAACATTGACATTGACGGAAGACCGGCAAAATTTTAAAAAGTTTTTAAATAGTAAGTACATACTTTTGTAATATTATATTTTTGTACCAAGAAATGTTAAAACGAAGTTATGTGATACAATATTAATAAAATTATGGTTTAATACTAGTGCATCATCGTATTGTTTACCTTGCACCTTGGTCATTCAAACTTTTCTAAACTCGTTGCAGGAATGGCTAGTATTGAACAACTTGACGCTTTGATATCCTTCATGGAAAGCCACAAGGAACTGGCCTTGGGAAGGTGTTCCCGATCAAAAGAAGGACGCATTCTAACGAAGCGCTTGTGGGCACAGTGCACTCAAATTCTAAACAATATTTCGCTAGACTGCCAAGTTAGATCGCCGGAGAGCTGGAGAGTAGTGAGTATTAACTTTATATAACAAATTTGCTCTAACTACTGGGCCCCCCCTACCAATATATTTCTTTATAAGAAGGCAATATAAGGGTTTATAATACTGAAAAAGAATTATATATAATAAAAGAAATATATATATATTAAGTTAGGGTAACATAAAGTAGTCCACCACATTATCAGCGTTGGCAAATATCAGACAACTTGACATAGTAAACTCATAGTTAAGCAGATTTCCTTCTAATTCTAATGTTTGCTTACACTGTTAAGGCAAGCAGTAACTAAATTATAACTTTGAGATAAAAGTAACAGAGGCAAACTTAAGACTTCTAAGTACTGTTATTTGTTATTCTTTACTAATTCCATCATGGAGAATAACTCTAGATAATCTTCTCACTAAGCTTTGTTGCTTGAACTACTAAAATTTCCTTACTTCATTTGATTAATTCTATAAGCTAATATTTATTTTGTTATTTCCAGTTTTATAATGAATACAAGTCTAAGCTCCTCAGGAGGGTAAAAAAACAAAAGGCCGAAATTCAGGCTACAGGTAATGAACTTTCTTAAATTATTCTTATTTATTAAAATCAGTTACAAGGTTAATATGCAGAACTTTTTATATTTTGTTTGTTTAAGATTAACTGCATTGTTTTCAGGAGGTGGCCCCGCAGCTAACATCACCTTGTCACCATTACAGGAGCGACTGTATGACATTATTGGTAGAGATGTTGGGGAACCTCTAGAAGGTGTCCGTCACAATCCCCTATTTGTGAGTTTAATATATCTTATTTTTTATTGTGCTATGTGTAACTTTTGCCCTTTTTTAAATGTTTTAATTAATAACACAAAATATAAGTACTGCCACATTGTAGATACCAATATCTACAATTTGGCATTTTACATATATTTTTTATTTGCATGTTTTTTTTTCTTATTGAATAGAGCCTAGAAGATAATGCTGGTGTTGGGGTGCATGAAATACCCTTTTCAGTGTGAGTTGTCATGATGTTTTTATTTCTTCATTTTATTACTAACATACTCTGGAAGCAGATTACCTACATACAAGCTCAAATGCCTGACTTGCCCCACTAACATGCCCAGATTTTATATATTCAAATACAAGAGACAAATAATATTATTAATAGCAATAATACACAAAATAAAGAACTTGATAGAACAAACAGAATAGCAAGATGTTCCACAAGCTGTCCCAGTTCCAAAAGTATCTGATAGGGTTGCTCTATTTTGAAACCCTGGCAGTATGCATTGTTTAACTATTATGTGTAAACTAAATAATGCATAGCGGTGGTGGCTAATATTATCATTTTTATGAAAATTAAAATTATAATATCAAGAATGTTAACTTTATTACAGACAACACACAGGCCCAAGCAGTGTCCTTTGAGGTGACTCCTTCTTTGGAGTCAGCAAGCTCTGCAATATTCGCTAGTGCTGTGGAGCCAGTAATCTCCATAGTGGACTCAGCTAACTCTACAGTACAAGCAAGTCATGTGGAACTCATTGGCACTGTGGAGCCTACTCCTCGTCCATACAGCGGCTCTACATATCGGCGACGTCGTGGACGTCGAAGTTTGGAGGGATCTCAACCCCGAAGTGGTAATTTTACTTTTACTTAACTGTATATGTTCACAATACCTTTTCATATGGACAGAATCATGTAACGTAAATATATATTTGCCCTGCAGCACATGAACCAACAAGTCGTTTAGAGGAGGCACAACGCAGGTTAGCCGAAATGGAAAGCGAAAGGACAATGGCTTTTACGGCTGCTTTGGACCGTCTGGCTACTACCATTGGTCAGCCGTTGGATCGTCTGGCCACTGTCATTAGCCAACTTTTGCAAGTATACCATAGAAACAGCAGTGGTTCCCCGCCTCTGGTAGGCTTATTCCTTCAAGTAGAATCTTAAGCATCAACACATAATTTATATTTTTTTAACAAGTTATTTTATGTTCCTTTCAGACAAAAAGGGCCAGGATTATTATCCCTTCAGAATCGGACTCCGATTAAATTAAAAGTAGGTAACAAAAACACTTATGGCAGTAGTAAATGTTTTTAATTTTAATAAAATTATCTTTCTGCCCACAATTTGTTCACAAGTGCCTGCTGCATGGCCCGGCCTTCCAGCAGGTCACGATTAACCCGACCACCTATCGTTACTACGGTCTCAGCCTCTGCTCTCAAATCTTCTTGAACCTAAAATTAATGAAACAACAGGGATTAGGTATTAAAACAAAATTAAAAACTTAGGTTTAAATTGAGACCCAATCAATGAATTTGAAACTTTACCTGATATTGACGCAAATTCTCCGCTACAACTTCCTCAGGCAGTAAAGGCAGGACAGGATTTTTGGCGCGGTTCGCAATATTGTGCAGAACACAGCAGGCGTTCACTATTTGCCCTGCAGTATTCGGAGCATAATGAAGTGCTCGAGCAGCAAGCAAACACCTAAAAATAAATATTGATAATTATACTGAGTATTAACATTTTCTTTTATTTTCAGAATTTTTCTACATCTAATCAAGACTGATTAATCCAATCAAGACATTAATCCAATCAAGACTGAATAATAGCTTTACGTTAAATAAAAAAAATATTTATCTAGCACTATGTTGTTTTACTATTCCAACTGATGGCATACAAAAAATAAGATATTTAGTTCATTGGCCTGTGACATGACAAACATGTAATTCATTTGGTAGGGTTAATTCCATCTTTACCTGAACCGTGCTTTCAACACCCCAATACAACGCTCAACAGTATTGCGCGCAGTTACATGCAAATCATAATAATATTGCTGTGGAGTTCCCTCAGTGGTGTTTAAAATTGGTGTCATCATCCATTTGCGCAAGGGGTATCCACTGTCACCTAAAATAAAGTAATTTTAACAATTTGTATTAAATTCCTTATTTTATTAATAACTAATAGCAGATGTTTTTTTTTAAATTTGCTGTTATGTAAAGTTTTTTATCAGTCAATTATTACTGATAAAAAACTAAAATATACAAATGGTTTCTAGACATTGTACATTTTATTCCAAGATTTCATCTTCATCATCATCAACAGCCTTGAATAGTCCACTGCTGGACATAGGCCTCTCCTGAGAGAGGAGGTTTTGGCCTACATACTCACCTAATAAAAATGAACCATCTCCACCGGGACCAGCTAAACTAATTAAGTGTTGGCTGAGTGGATTACTCTGCCACACACTAGAGTCATGGGCTGCACCAGGGATACTCGCATCGACACACATGATTTGAAGATCAGAGTCACATACCTGTAAATTATTGATAGCATTAAGCAAACTGAAAAATGACTGAATGATAAATAAACTGGTGCAAATAAATACTTACAATCATAACATTTAATGAATGGTAACCTTTTCGGTTAAAATATCGTTCTTCATGTACGTGAGGTCTCAAAATAGCCACATGTGTGCCATCAATGCATCCAAGAACCCCGGGGATTTTAAATTTATGATAGAATCTAAAAAGCAAATAATGCTGTTAATTACCGACAAATTAATACCGACTACGTGTAGATCCATACCTTATGCATGGTGGAGTCTGTGTAATGTACACCATTACACAGACTCCACCAAGCATAAGTTTTATAAAATACTAGCTGTTCTCTTTCATGCTTCGCTGTGATACATTGTGGTTGCAAAAAAAGATGACCAAAATCTTTGAAGAAGGTTGTATATCGTGTCAAAATATGAGCTCTATCAGTGCAGAACTTTTTGAGTTTTTGAAGCATACACAAACCAACTTAACATTTATATTTGTATATTATATTTATGATATTGATAAGGGGCAAGCCTTCACTTTCTCATGTTTTATAGAGGTCATTGATAATCCTTCAATATATATATATATATATATATCTCACACATCTCACACACGGCCGTCTGATCCCAAACTAGGCAGAGCCTGTACTATGGTAACCAGACTGCTGATAAACATACTTATATATTTTTAAATACATACATATTATAGACAAATTACACCCAGACACAGAACAAATGACCATGCTCATCACACAATATTTGTCCTGGGTGGGAATCGAACCCACGACCTCTGGTTTAGCAGTCAGGGCCACTAACCACTAGACCAACAGGCCTGTCAATGATAAATACATTAATAAAAGGCATCTAGGTATGAACTTACTTGGCTTTTATATCATTCCTGTCTTGCTGTGCCAATGGGAATCTCACATATTTGTGGTAAATGGTAGGATCATTCAAAGCTTTGGTCACTTGTCCCACAGCCCTAGACACGGTGGCTTGTGATACATTGTGAAATGCACTTTGCCCTACCAAACTTTGATATGACCCTGTAGCATAGAATGACAGGGCTATCAGAAGCTGAAATACAAAATAGGTATCAGGAAACTATAATGTGAAAGTAACTGAAGCATACATTTTATTTACAACAATACCATTTGTTTTCATTTTATTAACCTTACCTTCATTATTACAGAAATTCCATCCTTTCTCTGCTCAAGTGGAATAATTCTGCTGACATCCTCTGCAAGTTGCTTTACAAGGCTTTTACTAATACTAAAAGTTTTGACGAACTCGTCATCGGATATCATAGTTAACACGTTAAAACTTCGCAATAAAGCACGAGCTCGGCGGCGTTTTGTAGCCTCTTCTCTTCGGTCTTCGTTATAAGAAGCTTCTAAAAATTGCCACCGTAAATATGATATTGGAAGCATATTTATTTTTAAACACGGAACACGTTTCACAGTAAAGTTTTAATTTAATGTTGTAGTTATGTAGTGTCTAGTTGTTGACAGTGTCAGATCAATGGCAGTTAAGTGACAAATAGTCATCCTGAAGCCATCGTGACGTCATTGAAACTACTGTCAATATGAGCAGAATACCGTATGTCAAACTATTGCAGAGACATCGACAACATTTGTATCAGTGACAAGTCATCGGGAGGCCATTGGTCTTGTTACAGTTAGCAGATTACGAAAAGTGCCAAACTATTCCGACGACACTCCATCGACACCCTATTGATACAATATTAAAATAGCGGAATTGGGGCCCTGTTGGTATTCAGTCATCCAACAGAATCCTTCAAGCGGTAAAGCAAAAGGGTTTGAATTAGTGACAAACTAAAACTTGCTGAAAACGGATAATATTGTAAGGGCTACTACTATTGACAAAGCGCTCCCAGCAGATCAAGAGTCAGGCCAATTAGATACTAGACAGAGTCCTAATCCATGTTTTTCATCAAAGGTTGAAAGAAGAGACATGAACACAGAGGCCTGAGTAGTAATCCAAGACCAACACTGGGAGCTGACTTTGAATGTTTTTAGTATTTATTTGTGTTTACGAATTAATTCCTTTTATTTTTTGCTCAGTCTCACTTGTAGGTAAATATTTTGGTAACAAAATTTTTACTGTAAACAGAACAGAACTGTTACTGCTATATTTATACTATGTCGATAATTGCAACTATTATCTTTGTATGCGTTATAGGTACGTCGTGAGTAATTTTAATATAAATTAACATATTTTATTAACATTTGCCTAATATGCTTATCGATCTATCTTAATAAAATACAGTTAGTAGAGGGTAGGTAGTAGTGGTGAAAGTTGACCCAGAATAAGAACGAATGAGTTACATCTGTACGCAGCTGAAATACGAATCATGTGATTCACGTGTTGTGTGACTCATTCTAGTCACACAACAAACAAGGTGATAAAAGTATTAGGGGGTCAGTTGATAAAAAGTTCAGAGTTCAATTCATTTATATTGGTTTTTTATTTATTGTTGTATGTAAATATTATCGTGCTATGGAAATGTAACGCGGAGAGAAAACCAAGCTATGATGAAGTCAGTGAAATGAGTTTTATGCATGGCAGTGAAAAGCCATAAGAGTAGAAAAAAAAAACTGAGCACCTCATAAAAGTGGTAGAAATATGACTAGAAAGAGAATAAGCAGTAAAATGACGAACGTTAGAGTAGCATAAAATAATGAAACATCGCCCGAGCTGCAAAATAAATTACTAAAAAGAGTAGGCAGATGATGATAAAGAAGCAAGAAGAAAAGCAAGCAGCAAAAGTGAAAGGCTGACATATTATATTTCTAAGACGCATGTCATTAATACAGTTAATGTATACATATAAAAGTAGCCTAGCGGTTAAGGCATTGGACTACCGACGTGAACCCACTCCTAACACAAACAATTTAGCTTAGCGGAAGGGGTTAACGGGAAAACTAGTAATTTCGGTTGCAGACCTTTTAAATAAAAAAAAAAAACTATATTATTTTCCAGGTTGCTAGGCAAGTTCGAAGAGGCTAGCCATGATCTATGTGAATCTCTGAAAATCGATTATGACGATCAATCTAATGAGTGGTTGAACGAGGTGAAACCAAATGCTGAAAAACTACGTCAACATAAGCTTAGTTTTCAACGTAGGAAGGAAGAGAGAGAGGTAATTTTTCAACGTAGTAATATTTCTCAAGTAATATTGAATGTTAAAATTACATCCCAATATTTAATAAATCTGATTTTAGTAAGTAATAGTCATGATGGTTGGCAATACATTTAAACTGTATGGGCTTTGCTCTTCCGAGGTTCTTACATCTAACTCATTCTCAGTAAGAGTACACTTTTTTTATTTTAAAATAAAAACGTATTTTATGAGAGAGTTGTGATATTTTTATTGGACAGGAAAGAAGACATGTTAGGATTAAGTATGGAATAAAATATCGTTAGATCGCACGATCTTAGTGACTAGTTGACATCAGAATTTCGTGAGATTGTTTTCTGGAAATTGTTGCTGCAATAAGTCGATTGTTTCATGCGCGGTGTGGCAGGTGGCGTCGTCCTGCTGAAACCACATGTTGTCCAGATCCATGCCGCTTGACCAAAATCCGCAACAGACAATTCTCGTTCTGGGTGCATTTGTTTCTCATGGATTGCATAAGGATTTTCTGAGCCACAAATTCGTCAATTTTGTGTATTCACGTAGCCATTCAGATGGAAATGCGCTTCATCGGAGAAGATGACTTATTTCGAAAAATTGGCATTGACTTCACTTTGCCCACATTACCTATTAAACGAATTGCCGTCGCTTTCCATGGTCTGCTGGCTTAAGTTACTGACTTAGCTGAATCTTGTACGCATGAAGGTGGATTTCTTTTGTCAAAATTCGCTGCGTACTGCTTCGTGAAATTTGAAGTTGTTGAGAACGATGCCGAATTGATGTTTTCGGCGACACTCGTTTTACCAACCGACCAACCGGTACGTTGACGCAAAGGATTCTTAATATCCATAATCGACCCAGTTTCTTCAAAATTTTTGACCACTTTTAGAATGGTTGACACTTTCTCGACTGAAAATTTGGCGAAATTTCCCATTTTTGTAATGAGTTTTCACAATTACAACGTGTTGTTCTTTCGAAAATCGCTCAATTTTTAATAACCGGAATAAGCAAAGGTGACAGCTGTCTAATTTCAGAGTTGCCACTTGCACGAAAAAAAAAAATATTCTAATTATCTAAGTCCACTCTGACTGAGACACTCTTTACTTCACACTTTTTAGACGGTTAAATCTTATATGCTTAAGTTAATGAACATAATTGATTTACTACAAATAAAAAATACAATTGATTTACAAAAATGTTTAACGAAATTCTATCCACACCTACATGCAATTTAAAACTCGAATCGTAAATCTTAATCAATTGAAAACGATCCACCGTAGCACCGTGAGAAGCTGCGTCGTGCCCGCAAAGCGCAGGAGGCGCGAGCGCGTGCGGCGCGTGCGCAGGCCGAGGCGGAGGCGCGGGCGCCGAACCCCGGCTCTGCGCCTGGAGCTGGAGGCTTTCCTGGCGCAGGGATCAACCCGCAAGATTTTAGCAATTTGCTATTCGATCAAGATATCATGGCTGCTTTCCAGGTATTATTACTTTTTTATCATGCCTATTTTTAGAAATAATAATTTCTGTTCTCAATGACTGGCCGTTGCTTATCCGTATATAAAATTATTTTATCCATCCATCTGTTTAATGTATAGGATCCAGAAGTGGCCGCAGCATTCCAGGATGTATCTGCCAATCCGGCTAATTTCGTAAAGTATCAAAACAATCCTAAAATCGCAGCTGTAATAGAAAAACTGCAGAGCAAACTAGGCAAGGGAGGCAATAACCCGTTCTCTGGAGGATTCCCAGGTAATTTTAAAACAGTTTGTTTTTAAATACTTATTTTTGGTCAAAAAGCTAGTTGTAAATTGAATGCAATGCGAGTCGGACTCTCGCACCGAGGATTCCGTACATATTGTGTAGGTAAATATGATAAACAGTTCAGGAATCAAGTCTCGCAGTTTTCTTCCAAGCTTTTTCTGAAATATAGTTTCCAAAACCTACTTTACTTATATTATTTTGTTTTAGAAGTACAATTGTACCTCAATGATTGATTTAGTAGACTATATTTTCTATGATTTCATTACAAATGCATAGTTTTCAAATATTGTATATACTTGCCAAATTTCAGTTCTAGGGCAACATAAGTGCGGCATAAGCGGCCGTATCTTTTTATGTTAACTTCAAGGGACGGTAGACCTGAGTATATGGTTTAGTTTTAGAGTAGACAGACAGACAGACAACAAAGTGATCCTATAAGCATTCTGTTTATTTCCTTTTGAGGTAAGGACCCTAAAAATGAAATAACTAATATAATGTTTTTACTTTGTTACCCACCTTTTTACTTCAACATCCTCTATAGTGAACAGGTCCCAGCAAACCCTTCATAGCAAACATTTTATTCATAAATGAGTTAAGATATAGGTACCATTATTAATCTTAACTAATATAATTAATTGTTTAAGGCCAAAGATCTCTTCGTGACGTTATTGTTAAGAGGCAAAACCGAAACATGTTTGAAACAACTTGGTGCTCTTAGCAATGCGTGCGATATATCTTATTTATTGCTTATAGTAACACAATGCTCACAATTATTATGATATAATGTAATTCCATATTGCAGGTTTCGGCGCCGCTGGCGGCCCTGGCGGTCCAGGCTCAGGACCCAAACCACCAACGGACGATGACGTCGGCCTTGACTAAAGTTTACTGTGTGCATTTTTCAATTTTTGTAATCCAAGTTGCTATAATTCTTAATATACATATATTGTATATCATAAACGGAATGGATGTTTAATTGTAATAAGAACTTGTTTACATTCATGTGTATAATTCAAATGTAAAACACGAATAAAGTGTTCAAAACAACTTGGTTTTGATTTTTCACTGTATAAATGGCTACTACTAGACAACACCCATAAATAATAATAGTTATTATGGAGATCAGTAATGCTCCTTGAAGAGTTTCTGAAAAACATTCAGTGACTGTGCTTCTCGGATAGTTCATCACCTCAGCCTATGCTTGTCCACTGCTGGACATAGGCCTCTCGCAATGATTTCCAGCGGGGACGGTTGATTGCGACCTGCATCCAACGGTTTCCGGCAACCTTTACCAGGTCGTCCGTCCATCGGGTAAGCGGTCGTCCTACACTGCGCTTTCCAGTACGTGGTCTCCATTGGAGAACATTGCTACCCCATCGGCCGTCAGTTCTCCTTGCTATGTGCCCTGTCCATTGCCACTTCAGCGCGCTAATCCGTTGGGCTATGTCGACCACCTTTGTTCTCCTGCGGATCTCCTCGTTGCGGATTCGATCACGCAGGGAAACGCCGAGCATAGCCCTTTCCATAGCACGTTGAGCGACTCTGAGCTTTCTGATTAGGCCCATAGTAAGAGACCACGTCTCAGTATCGTAGGTCATCACTGGTAACACACACTGGTTGAAGCCTTTCGTCTTTAGGCACTGAGGTATTTTGGACGTGAAGACGTTTCAGACGTTTCGTAATTTCCCGAACGCTGCCCAGCCGAGTCGGATTCGACGATTGACCTCTTTCTCGAAGTTGGACTTACCTAATTGGACCGTTTGTCCTAGGTAGACATATTTGTCAACAACTTCGAGGACAGAGTTTCCCACGACTATGGGAGTCGGCGCGACATGGACATTCGACATGATTTTCGTCTAGTCCATGTTCATTTTAAGGCCGATTTGTTGAGAAACTCCGTCGAGGTCAGCGAACATTTGGCCCAGGTCTTCCAGCGATTCTGCCATGACTACGATGTCGTCGGCAAATCGAAGAGTGAGTGATGTATTCGCCATTGATGCTGATGCCGAGTTCTTTCCATTCCAGGAGCTTGAAGGCATCTTCCAGAGCAGCGGTAAACAGTTTCGGAGAAATAACGTCTCCCTGTCTTACCCCTCTCTGTAATGGAATTGCCTTCGTGTAGGTATTGGTCCTGTACTCGAACTGACATATTGGCGTTATTATACAAACACTTCAATACCTCGATGTACCGATAGTCAATACGGCTCCGCTGGAGAGACCTAAAGACTGCCCAAGTTTCGATCGAATCGAAGGCTTTCTCATAGTCCACAAACGCCAAGCATAGTGGCCGATTATACTCCTCGATCTTCTGTATAATCTGCCGCAGCGTATGTATGTGGTCTATGGTGCTAAAGCCTTTTCGGAAACCGGCTTGTTCGGGAGGCTGGAAGTCATCAAACCGACGTTCGAGACGATTTGTGATGACTTGAAAACAGCCTGTAGACATGGCTCAGCAGTGTGATGGGCCTGTAGTTCTTCAATAAGGTATTATCGCCCTTCTTGAAGAAAAGTACCACCACACCCCTGTTCCAGGACACTGGCGTGTGTCCCTCGAGCAAGACGGAATTGAAGAGCTTCTGAAGGACCTTGAGTACCGGTTTGCCACCCGCTCTCAGAAGCTCAGATGTGATTCCGTCATCGCCCAGTGCCTTGTTATTCTTAAGCTGTTTCAGAGCCATCCCAATCTCGTATTGGCTGATGTCCGGGATATCTTCGGTATATGTCGGGTTAGCCTTGCTCTAGGGTCTTACTATCGGATAGTTACTAGCAATGCATTCCAAAGCCGTGCAGCTTGTACTGAAGTGGATTTGTAGTAAAATGTAGTATGCTTTGGTATTTCCAACGTTAGGTTTTTTGATCTCAAGTGTCTATTATGGTGTCGTGTAGCAGTGTTGAACAAGATATTGTACAGTAAAGAGAGAATATGAGTATTACTTGATTTCTAAATAATGTAACTACTTGGAATTAAAATGTCCAACTATATAGTTACATTACTGTAACTACAATGTAAGTAGATGGGTTAACATAGAAAAAGAAATTCTGGGAGTCTCAATTTTATTAAATTTCCTCATTGAGAAAGCTAACATCGACATAGTCAATAATAGGGAAAATAATAGATGCGTGAATGTAATTTTAGTATAAGTTGGAAGGAAATTGTGTAATCAAGGCAAATATTTTGCGACTGATGCTTGCAATTATTATTGTCAGGTTTTTTGTTTATTTATTTATCACATAAAACAACTTGACAGAGGTTTACAAAATGACAGCTTCTGTAGAAACCACATGGGTTTATAAGGTATTTTGTGATTCATTGCATATATTTAGTACCAGGTAGGTAATAAATAAAACAACATCTACAACTAGTAAAACAAATATTTATTGTTTTAAACATCATTTACTCTGCCCCAACGAAGCCTAATCTTCTTCTCATGTAACTTCAACCAAGATGGCATGTTCTTTGGCAGTGGCTGTGCATTAGGGAACTTTAGAGGAGGTGGAGGCATTTTGAATGGGTCCTCTGTCTTCAACTTCCGTAACAAATATTCTTTGTTGATTTCCTTTGGATCACGATATTTATCCATATATATGTTGAAAGGTTTTCTGCGAGGAAACCATTCCTGTGGGCGTATGTAAGGCTTCGGGAAGTCATACTCGTACACTGAAACCATTTAATGTGTTTATAAAGAATGGTTGATATAGCTCATAATAACACTATGCCTTAATTACAAAACTTCAAAAAAGATTATCACATCTGACTGCAGAAAATTTCTCCTATGTTGGCTGAACTAATTGATTTTGGATTTTTGCATTACTAAAACTAGGCAGAGCCTTAAAGAGACAAAAACTGAACCTCCTCAACACATTACTTTTACATTGAAATTATTTATTTGATGTTAAAATTATAATAAAATGAAAAGTCAGTTAAAATTCATCATTAGCAATGATACTGCCTTACAATTTATTGGTGACTATATCTAGTCACTATATAATAGGTCTTTACCTATGAAATTGCCGTTTTGTATGCAATAAGTGAAAGTACTTATTTTTTCAAACTTTTTTATTTCTGTTATTCGAAGTAATCACCCATGCAATCGACGCATCTTTGCCAACGCATTGGCAGTTTATTGATGCCCTTCTTGTAAAAATCAGCTGGACGGGAGGCAACAAACTCTTCAAAGACATTTTGTACTGCCTCTCGGGAATTGAAGTTTTACCCACTAAAAAGTTGTCTAAATTTTGGAAAAAGTAATAGTCGGTAGGTGCAAGGTCTGGTGAGTACCAAGCAACCAGCTTTGGTCAATCGGTCGTCCCCACTGCTCCTTCACGACAACGCGCGACCCCATACTGCGCACCAGATAGTCTCCAAGCTGCAAGAGATGGGGTTGGAAGCTCTCCCTCATCCGCCATACTCACCAGACCTTGCACCTACCGAATATATATATATATATTTATGTTTTAATAAATAAGGCTGGGTTACCTGGTTCCTTTCTATGCAAGACACTATGGAAGAAATCTCTAACAGTGTTATCCCAATGACTTTGGTAGAATGCAAGTCCAGCAGGGGTAATGTTGTCTTGGTACTGTTTGTACCAATCTCTTGTTACAAATGTTCTGTCTCTCAATACAGATGTTGAGGTCACTGTAAGAATAATATTCATAATAAAAATTAGAAGTTTCCTTCAATAGCCAAAAAAAAAAAGTTTTATTAGCATTATTCATGCTTCATCAACTTTCTAATCACCTATTCCATCCCAACATCTGATTTCGTTTTCAGTGCATTTTTGTTGTTGGAGATGTTCATACTGTTGAGTTTTATGTAATAAATAAAGGACATCATTCACCGTGCCGGCCAACGAAAAAAAATGGTTTTATCGGTTAGAGAATGACATTCTAAGATTTTTTCTTTAGACGGCTAAGAGCTAAGACCGATTACTTATCTATACTAATATTATAAAGCTGAAGAGTTTGTTTGTCTGTTTGTTTGTTTGTTTGTTTGAACGCGCTAATCTCAGGAACTACTGGTCCGATTTGAAAAATTCTTTCAGTGTTAGATAGCCCATTTATCGAGGAAGGCTATAGGCTATATATCATCACGCTAAGACCAATAGGAGCGGAGCACCAATGAAGAATGTTTCAAAAACGGAGAAAATTTATTACTATTGAGAGACGCAGACGAAGTTGCGCGGGTCAGCTAGTGAGTTATATGACTTAGAAGTAATAAAAAAATGCATTTATACGAGTTCGTCTGAACAATTTTTACTTCATTACTATAGCAAAAATCAAATAATGATGATAAAGAATAACTTAATCTCGCTTAATAATAATATAATATGACAAAAAGCCTAATTATATACAATCATAATTAGGTACCTAAGTACCTACGTAGGTATTTATGTGTAGGTATTAGTATTAGTTATAAAATATATGTAAAGAAAAAGACTTCATTTCGTTACCTACGTGGCTTTATTCATATGGGCGTTTCTCTGTAAACTGGGCAACTCGTTCTAAGGAAACTGTCTAGGCAAGTTTTTTGCTCATAATATAATAAATTTTATTTAGGGAACAAGTATCCGTCTATTTATTAATATAGGGCAGATGAACCACAAATATTCCCATTACTTTAGAAAATATTAAGCATTTTCTGAAAAATGTATACAGGGGACTGTTGTCAAAGCCAGGGGACTGCGAACTTAAATAAAAAAATACAATTTAAGTATCGAAATTAAATGTTTTTTTATTATTATAAACTTTGGAGCTTAAGAATTAAGTAACTGAATAATAAAAAATTAAAGAATCAACTATCTTTATGTAATATTGTACTTAGCACTGGAATTTTAATATTTACTTATTATTAATTAAAATCACATATATTGAAAGGACTTTCAGTACTTTGAAACTTACACTACAGAATCAGTCTCGAAAAATAATTAGTTATTTCTAAAATATAGCATAAATAGATAAAAAAAAACAGTATTTAAAGTCTTATTTTTTCTCGAAAACATCTACAGGTGAATCAAACTTGTAAAACATTCTATTGCCTTTTAAAACTATATTGGGATTAGACAGCTTCTGTACCACTTGGTCCATTGTAATGTCTGCCACATCATCATCATCGTATCTAAATAATTGGCCTTTATTATCACAGAGCTTTAAGAATGTAACCCGGATTGCGCCATCTTCTTCATCAATCTTGTCAATTATGCTCGCATATCTATATTCCATATTTGTTTTGCCAAGCAATTTCACAACAATATAATTTCCAGCTTTTTTGACTAGATCTTTCCTTGATTCTGGAGTATCTGCCATTTTTTGTAACTTTGTATTTGGTGTATCTTTAGGCTTTGGATTTATATTCTTTTTTAGTCGCGATAAACGTTTTTTGTACTTTAATACTTTCTTCTGCATTTCTTTAATTTCTTTATCTTTTTTCTTCTTTATTTTATATCTAAGCATCTTTTCTTTATTTTTATTAATTATTTCAGCAACTTTAGGTGTTGACATTTGACATGAAGTAGATACATCAGAATCTGGAGTATTGTCTTTAATAAATGAGTTAGTAATATTTGCTAATACTTTTTTCTTATTGCGATACTTGGTGCAATGCTCTTTCCACTTCTTCTTGGCATTTCGGTGTTCTCGTGGAGTCATATTCTTAACAAGCTTTCTAGTTCCCTTTTCTTTTTTCTTAAGGTACTTAAGGCGTTCTTTTTCTTTAAGTTCTTCCCTTTTCTGAGGGTCGTTTTTAATCTTCTCATATCTCTTTCGCTCTGCTTCCCTTTTTTTTTTGTAGAATCTCTTCTTTAGTGGCTTTTTTTTCTTTGGTGCCATTCTCAAAACAAATCTAAAACAATAACAAATATAATTTAGACAGTCCTTTGGATGCTGAAACAGTCCCCTGTCCTGTAGAGAGACAGGGGACTGTTGCCAGGGGACTGTTTAATTTGATTTCATTGATGAGTAGTACAAAATGTAATTGATCTATGCTACTTTGCTGCACATAGGAAGTATGTATCTATTGTAACAATTTAAATATTTGAAGGAATCATTAAAATACATAAATAGAAGTAAAATAATCCTTACCAGAAGACTGTTGGCTGTCAGGTTACAACGCGGCTTCCACGGAAGGACGCTCGAACACTACTAAATAAGATGGCGTTCGGGTCGTCATGGCGGCAATCGCGCAAACTTCAAACTTGTTGCGTTGCGTTACACGCATAAAAGGCGTTGTTTAACCTTTCGGCTACGCGACACGTAATTTAAAATATAGACAGGGGGACTGTTCACTAAATGCGAAGACAAAGTTTCATTGCCTTTCTTTAAATTGTAAAATAATATTTATGTAAAATAAATAGGTCTCATTGACAATCAAACAATATTGATTTAATAATACAACAATTGGATTAATTCCAATAGATACTATCTCGATTAATTTAGTCTGAAGTAACTATACTGCTTTGGTGACATGCCAGGGGACTGGTTTTTAAGAACTATAAAAACGTTTTTAATATAATAAAGTTTATTTTAGTCGATTTTTTATGTTGAGCAGCGGTAGATTAAGGTATTGATTTTTGGAATTATCTACGAAATATTTATGGTCTTTTATTTTTTTTAACAAAATTAGCCTGAGACAATGAGTTGCCCAGTTTAGAGAGAAAAGCCCATATGTTATAATTCCGCAGGTCTCATTTCGATGGTCTTGCGTTGTTTAGGTTTTTAATTATTCAGAAATAGTTAATTGATACATAAATGTAAATGCTCATTGTATGATTTTCGGAGATCCATTTTGGGTCTAAAGTTGGTCTTAGACGTTTGTTGTAATAATAAACAATGTTTAAAAGATCATTTGCCGTAAGATGACATAGTTGTTTTTTACTGGCCGGCACTTTAATTTTTGGGTACATTTTGAATTATGTCCTTTATATACTCTAACCTAGTAATTTTAAACAAAAATACATGTATTTCATTAAGAATTTATCTATCTCTGACATTCCTAAGAACTAACTAGAAGTACACATACATAATAATATAGTTTTTCGTAAACTCTGCAATCTAGCTCTTAGACTATACGCTAATAACTTTTGAACCTGTGACCGACAATTCTGGTATTTGGCGACTAATACCGACTAAATTTGGAAGAAAACAGATCTTCCCTAAGTGTTGAGCTACAAGCATGGCCAAGCTTGAGAGACTGACCCCAGCAGGACCACCTATAAACGCTTATAATTTTTGAACCAGTGACCGACAAATTCTGATATTTGGCGACAAATTTCCCACAATTAGAATAAAAATAAAAAACGATAACTAGAACAAATTTGGTGTTCCTTTAATTTTTTACAGTTTGTAACTTACAGTTTGTTAGATTTTTAAAAACTACGTAATCTAATAATTACACAAAACAACTTACCTTTTTTGATATTATAAGATAAAGGTCCATTTTGTTTGTAAAGTACAAACACGTATCTATGGTACCCAGTTCCTTTCAGAGGAAATGGCTGCATGTACTCAACAATAGTATCCCCTTTCTCTACAGAGTTTCCAGGAATATTAGCAACTAGCCAATGTACATATTCTTTATCGTTTTCTGTAAGATGACCATCTAAACTTGTTAAAGCTAAGGTCCATAGACTATCAGCATCAGACTCATAATTCACTGCAGGGTATTCCAGTGCTTCTGCTGGCTTTATAACATTACCAGTATAAACTGGAAGATATGAACCATCTTTGAGATCATATAATACTTCTAAATTTAAATATGGAATAAAATAACCTTCTCCATATAAATGTTCAAAAATAGCATAATGGTCTGCAACTTGCTTTTTTTGCTTAGGACCACACGTTTGAAGCCAGTCCTTTTTTGTTTCATCTAAATCTATTTGTAACTCAAAGTTACGTGCAAGTTGTTCTAATTTCTGATCTGCTTTTAAATTCTTTAAATGCTCTAATCTAGATAGACGGGCATTGCGAGTTTCATTTCTGAAACAATAAATATGTGTTAAGTTACTAAATTACTTTTAGTATAAAGAAGAGGCAGACTCACATCATAAAGTTCTAATGTGAACATATTATTATATTTTGATCAATGGTCAGGGTTTTGACACTGTACTAACAACTAGCATGCAGCTTCTTCTAACTTGTCCTGCCAGTCATAACATGTCTATAAGGACGACTCCCGTGATATTTTAAGTTTGATCATGAAATTCAAACTTACCTGTCTTGATTAAATAACAATTCTTTACAGTTGGTAACATTAGGAGACAGCTCAAAATACTTGTAGGCCAGGCTAACTGCTAGTCCTTTTTAGTTTCAAAGAGAAACATTTGTAAAACAAGATTTATGTAAGATTAATATATTTAAGTAATAAATATATTGTAAAGTTACGAAATTAACTAGTTAGACTTGTCTTTAGTTGAGAGAAATAAGTTATTCTTGAAGATAACATTTATTATCATGTAATAAAAGACCAAGAGTTGTTATAACACTAGAAATGTCTTAATAAACAGGAACTTTAGAAACTGGTAAACATTTAAATTGTGCTCTATGACTATTTTCATACAGGCAAAAACTATTTCACATAAACATTGTCAAAACATGGTTGGAACCCACTTGCCAGAGTGTTATAGAGGTAATAAGATAGCCCAAATTGCCTATGTGTTAGTGGGTCCAAACTGCATGTGTTAATTAACCTCTCCATGTAAAACTGAGTGGTAAATAACTTTACATGTCAAGGAGAAATATGAAAATAGCTTAGACTAAAAGCTGTTATTTCACTATATAATTAGGTGCACATTAGTTCTACTACTAGTAGTAGGAGCTTTTCAGTTACAGTCTGTGAATTATCAATACTATTATGAAATTAGATGGAAGAAATCTTAGATGGTTTAGTACAAGTGATTGAACTGATTCCAGAAAATTTAAACATTTTTATTTTATTTTATTTACGCTTTTTATTATGGTGCCAGTGCCAAATATACGTGTTTTAGATTTTATAACTTAGCAAAACAATTTTTATATCATCTCATTCCTTATCGATACAAATACATTTTACGCCAACCTTTAGGGTTAAGTGTACTCACTTGGTTTTCGGCAAACCGATATCAATTCTGCTTGTATACAATTCATCTTTATAATTAATTTCATCAATGCGATCTTTTATTGTTCGACAGTAAATAGGCGCTTTTCCTCTTATTCTATGGGCTAATCGTATATGTTGTAATAGGACATGGGCTGTCCGAGTTCCACGAAATGTAGTTAGCATATTGTAAGAGCTTATAATACGTTGTTATCACATAAATTCATTCGATTCAACTTTTTTTCTGATAGATAGATACATTACATATATAAAAGATTGAGGTTATTTCTTTTGACACTAATGACAACTACGACAAATGTAATCAGTGTAGCCTCTTTAAAATTAAATAAAGTACTCTTAAAACAAGCAAAATCTACAAATACTAGACTTCTACATTTACTCTAGCATATATTTTTATAGTAACAAGAAATGCATATGTATGATAAATAAATAACGGATAGAATTTAGTTTAAATATCCAAGGCCAAGGTGACTCGACGTGAGTCATCTTCGCAAAGTAAATTAAACCAAACACCCATTTAATGAGTATATTTTAGTGTAGTATACGTATGTATATATGCATGTATTATACATGGTATAGTATTTTAGTACCAATCAAAAATGATTAATTATTCAGGAATTGAGAAATTCAGTTCCAATAACAGTTTGGTAGTTTAAACAAGTAATTCTACTTATTCTTCCACACTTACTGTCGATGCCGTTTGTTATTACAAAATTTTCCTTCCACACTTAGACATCAAATCGATGACATGATTTAGAGTTATTGATGTGTTGATAATTATATTATACAGTTACAGATTTTTTTTTGTGTGGAACCCCCAACAAAACAAACTATTATTTCTTGTAGGATATTCTCTTTGTGGTAAAGAATCAAGCTGACTATGTTTGGGTGAACGACAGTTATAGCTATGCACAGATGACCTTACCAGGAGATAAGACCAGTGTACTTGTTTGCGTAATTAGGTGACGGTAGCAGACAAAAAGTAACTGATCTCTTACCGTTTCTACTTATTCATAAACATTTCATTTCCCCTAATTTAACTGTAATACTGCAAGCTTAAGTGTACTAGGAATATATCCTGTATGACCTGTATCGGACACTTTACAAACAATCATGAAACGAACACAAAGAACACACAGGCTCAGAACATGTTGGTGTCACATGAAAGTATCGAACCCACAACACCTAAGCGCAGTAGGCAGCGCCAAGATGATTGCTTAAACAACTACACCATCCAAAGGTCCATGTCCAATGTCCATGTAGTCAATATTTATGATACAAATAAATAGTAATGCAAATATGATACTTGGTATATTGTTTTGATAAATGTGTTTTATTTGTAATTAAATGTGGTATTCTAATTGTTATGTACCAAAGTTTCGACGTAATTGTATTACTGTTCCATTTGATGGCAAACCATTAAACATAAATAGTTCATTTATCATTTTACAATGATAACATATAATCTCGTCGTGGGAGAGTCTTCTTTGTAACACGCTTTTATTAGATTGGTTACGAGTACCAATCTAATAAAAGCGGAATCTATGTAACGGAATCTTAGAATTTGAGCCATTTCAAATCGTCTAATTAAATTGAAATTTTGGACGCTTTTCAAGAACCGATAAAATTGCAATAATTTAAATAGTTTTTGCCATTATCCTGATCAGGACCTTCAAGATTAAATGCTTTTTCTATCAGTACAATAATCCCTTTTATCGTAAAAAGGGTTTAACTTTTCAAGGTATTTTATGATATAATAACTTTACTTTTACCAATATCTGTAAGTAAAACATTTTTACAACAATTGAGTTCTAGCACCCCACACTTATTGGCAATAAAATTATTTTTCTTATTGAACTTTTAGAAAATTATTTCCTACTTTTTAGTTCCGCTACCTACAAAAACGTGTTTTTTTTGTTTTTTTTTAAATTAATTATTAAATTTCCTCGTTATTTTCAATTTCTTTGTCCTTTTCTTTTAATTGTTTTGTGTTTAAGACTGGACAGTCTTATTTCTTTTTCTATTGATAAATTGATTGATTTAGACTAACGGATTCCAACAATAATGTGTGGAGTCTCTATTAAAAGGTTAAAAAAAACCTTATCAAAACCCACCTCAGATGGTGTAAAAAACAGGCTGCTGCATCAATCTACGGTAAAGAGCCAAGCCTGAGATCTTGAAAGAGGGTTGATTGCCATGCGGCAGGCAATCCTAGTAAAATAATGTTCTTTGGAAGACATTGGAGTCTTAGTAATTTCAGCCTTGACGATATAATTAGTTTGAAGCCTTCTGGGATGAATACCTAATATAAATAAAAAGTAATCATTAGCCTACATAATCTTGTCAATATTCAAAATAACATCAAAATAATTACACTTATAATTAAAGAGGATTCCAATGCTATCTGGAAGGTATTTCTGATCTAAAAGTAACATGTCATTTTGCAACGCATCCAAATGTTAAGTGTGAAAAAATACATATAAACAAGAAGCTAGTACTAAAGTACAAAACTTTAATGTCTATCACATTTTAACTTGTGGCCATCAGAGTAGATGTTACGATCCATATTTTGCATCGAAATAATTATAAGTGCTTCTAGTTGCTACTAATCGTTAAATAACTACTGCCTCGATTTACTACTAACTACTTTTTGAGGTACACATCTGATTGATGATAAGATGATTCTGACATCTGTAGGGCTAGTCACGTATCCAGTGAGAATAAATTGCGCATATGAATAGAGTTTTTTTTTTAACCAATAGTTGCTACTAAACTGCTACCTATATATATTTTATACGTTTTAAGGATAAAAAGTTATTATCAATTTACTATTACCATGCCTAAACACCTGTAGAATTAAATGAGCAAATTCCAAATCAAACACAAGATAAGTTTTCATAAGCAGGCGCTACCTGATAGAATTTATTTTAAAAGTTATCTATTATACATTATGTAACTTATAGTATATAATGTTTTTTATTAAATTGTAATTGTTTAGCAATAACTGTTTTTTTTTTGCATAAATTACTTTTGTTGCATTAATTACTTGGAATAACTTTGGAACTCTAACAAGTGGCGTCTGCTTAATAAATACTAATTACGTAGGTATTTAATTGGGTATCTGCTCATTTAATTATACATCGTTTAGACAACTTAATAGTAAATCTATGTACATAAAAATGTTAAGTTTTTTTTGTATACGCTTCAAAAACTCAAAAATTTCTGCACCGATTGAGCTCAAATTTTGACATTATCGTGTCTCTGCAACGTGGGTCCATCTACAACAAAAAAATTTTTATCCATTTTTCGGTTTAGTTCTGTCCCTCATTTCTTATCAATGCAACCATAATGTGCCACAACCAAGCGTGGCAGGTTACCTACAGCTAGTTCATAATAACTTGTTATCCTTAAAAGCTACGAGGTCCGAAACGATGTATATGACGGTAACAGTTTAGTAGCAACTATTGGTTAAAAAAACTCGATTCATTTTGCGCAGTTTGTTCTCACTAGATAGGTGACCAGCCTTTCTGATGTCAGTATGGTCCATCGCCTTAAAATATTGTTTTTTTGAAGGGGGTAGCAGTCATCTAAAGATTACTAGCAACTAGAAGCAACTAGGTAGCTACTTTCTATAATTCTCTTTACATAGTATAAAAAAAAAGTCGCTTCTCGCCGTCTGTACGTTCAATATCGTTCAGTCTCGTATGATGTTTCAAAAGAAAGGTTTATATGTAAAATACATGCATATTATGGTAGAAAAAAAAGCCGAGAATCACAAAGATTTGGACTGTGATGTTATAAAAAACATATTTTATTGCAAACGTTGACTGAACCTTACGAGGTAGACGTACTACACAATTGTATATCTTAAAAGATCCACAAAAAAGTTGGCGATGGTATATGTCTCAAAGTAATCACTTTTATCTTTTACATATGACACGAACATCATAGGTTTTTAAGAAACAATTTTAAATATTACTGTAAAATTCTTTATCCAATGTAATACGTTGCGCACTTAATGTAGATCAAAATAGTAGATCATATATGATCAAAATTATTATTTTAATAGCAGAGAATTAAAAGACGGGGGCAGAGCGGCCGTCAAGCCGTACATCGGGCCGGTGGGCGCAGCGCTTGACAGAGTAACCTCTAAGCAAACAATATATTTGTATTGTCTCATGAAAAAGCATATGTAAACATTGTAAGCAAAGATATCAATTAGTATAACAATATTATTAATCACTCCACACCGAGACCACAGTATGTTAGATCTACATTGCCCCCGTGCGAAGGCCGGACGGGTCGATCGCTAGTAAAAAATATGTCTCGCACGACGAGCCACTCTAGTGCGCATGCGTCTTAGAAAAGACTGTCCAACGACGTATTGTTTTGCAGAACTTATCTCAAATGAGTGCGTCATTATTTCTTTTACGTCCTTATCGTCGATCATACTAATGATATAAATGCAAAAGTATGTTTATAGTATTTTTTTAGATTGTAGGTAGGTACTTTTTTTTCAAAGAGGTTAAGATACAAGAAAGACTAGGAGATACGAAATACGGGGTAAAACAGTTTGTTAAGTCTAACCTTTCTAGTCTGATACATTACCATAAGAATAACAAACAAAAACAAACCTAAAAATTAGTTGACTTTAAAACATGTCTCTTCGATCACGAAGACCTAGGTATTTTACTAATAGTATTTATAGTAGTGTGACTACGCGCAATATAGTATGCATAATTTGAAAGCAATGCATATATACTTACGTAGGCATACTTAAGCAGACATAAATTAGCGGAGTCTTCGAATACTAAAAAAAAAATCCGAACAAGTGCAAGTCGGACGCGCCCACTGAGGGTTCCGTACAAATTAATGAGTACATATATAAATAATTCAGGAATCGAGTCACGCAGTTTTTACCGAGCTTTTCCGGAAATTCAGTTTCCAAAGTATATAGTTACTTATATTATTGTGTTTAAAAGTTTAATTATGGCAATTCATTAATGGTTATGCAGGTCCAAATTAGTAAGTGGTGACTGAAAAAAAAAAATTTGGCGTTTTTGTAGTGCTAATGACTTCGTACTTTAAATAAAGATTATATTTTTTATGATTTAATTACAAATGTATAGTTCTCAGATTTTCCTCTGTATATGTAGTATAAGACGATGTTAATTGCCTAATTTCATAGATCTTGGTTGACGGGAAGTACCCTATAAATTTTGCTTCCATTGAGTGTCGAAATACGCATTTTTTTTGCTACATAAACATAGAAGTTTAATTTTTTTACAACTTCAAGGAACTTTAGACCTGAGTATATGGATTTCATTTCAACTCGATACCTCCCGAGATAAAGGGTCTTGACAGACAGACGGGCAAGAAAGTGATCCTGTAAGGGTTTCGTTTTTTCCTTTTGTGGTACCGAACCCTAAAAATTGCTTATTTATCTTAAATACATAATATGTTAAAAGGGAAATGTATAATGCATTTTATTCGGTTTATGTTATATAAGTGGCAAAAAAGTAGGTAACCGTAATATATATGTATATTGATTGCCTCGGTGGTGCAGTGGTAGCGTATGCGACTGCTGTGCTAAGGCCCTAGACCTTGGCACAGCAGTCGCATACGCTACCATAGGGTACAAATCCCGGGTCTGATCGAATATTTGTTTCGGAATTTGGATGTTTTCTATAATATATATAATAGTATTTACAAAAGGTCCGTGTGGTGACGGATTAAGAATACAGAGTGTCACCACCCCTATTCATCCCGTGGGTGTCGTAAGAGCCGACTAAGGGACGAACGAACGAGGGGAAAAACTACGCAGCACAACAACACTGCAGAGAGAAGGACTACTTGACACAAACCCTATACCAACCCGTCTGGCCAGCGTGGTATAGTAGGACAAAACCTCCTTTCTAAGGAGAGGCTTATGTCCAGCAGTGGACTATTAAAGGCTGTTGATGATGATTTACAAAAGAAAAAAGCATGTAAGTATTCAATCAGTCAACCTATCTTACATGATGCTATGAAAGCTAAATTGACTGATAGAAAAATATATATATGTAAATAACAGCTTAGCGTTTACCTACTTTTTTGCCATCAATTTGCCATAAATCAATGTATACCATGAATTATTATATACTTATACCATATGTGTAATTACACATACTTATACTATACTATGCCTATACGGTACTCTAGTCAATTTTATTACACATTTGATTTTTTTGTATGGTTCACCGGTCATACACCGACCAAAAAAACAGATGATTTCTAGTATAAAATAACCACGTGTAGCCACATGGTCTTTATCGCCATCTTTGCCCGGCTACAGTGGCGAAGAGCATGGCTCACACAGGTACAGGACTACAGTAGAACTTATTGCTACTTTCGAAAGTACCTTTTGTATCTAGGACAATAAGGTATTTTAGTATTTATATAATTATGAGAAAAAACCTAAAAATATATTATTGAGCTAGCTTGGGGAGACTTCCCTATGACACCATTGGGGTATAATTTGGTGGAAGAATCACGAGGGAAGAATGAAAATCAGCCGGAAAATGATAGTTTTACCTATTAGAGACTATTCATAGAGTGCCAGAAGGCAGGCTAGGCCAACTACATGCTTTATGTTTCTTAGCAAAGATTGAACCACGATCCCTGCTGACAATTTATTGGCCAACAAAATAACTAACTATATGTCAAAGTAAAAAAAGAAAAAACTTATTATATTAGTTGCAAATGTTTATCGTCGTTTCACCAAGTTATTCCAACATTCAACTGGCAAGACAAACAAAATCTATTGTATCTTGGATAGCTTTCCCTTTTCATTTTCGAGAAGACTGTACACAGACCTTTTTTTATTGAGTCATTTAGTTGAAAAACTAATCTTTGAATAACCTTTGTATATTTAACAGGTTTTATTCTTCCCAAGGCATTAACAAAATGTTAAAAACTGACAAAGATAGTACAAGCAAGTAGCTACTAATAAACGTTAAGTTGGTCCAAGTTTAAACACTTCTTTACAACGATTAGGTACTATACAGGTACCTACTTACTACATTTATAATTATGTACCACGTATAATACTGATTTACCTATGCAAATTCTGTATTCCGACACTATTAAATTAAAAAATATATTTTTATGAAGTTACGTGTTTAAATAAGATTTAACTAATGGTTCCTAAATCCTGTTATATTGTATATATTGCTGAAGAAAACACTTTTGAATCATTTTTTTTACTTACTTTTACTCAAAGCTAAAACAAAAAAATGCTCGTCTGTATGCACGCACTTTTTTCTCTTTGTTTAGAGTAGAAAACTCAATAGAAAGAACAAGAGCAGGTACCAACATAAAAAAGTCAAACCAAATAATAATTTTATGCGAGTTCTAACAAGGCTTCACAATACTCCACATGGGTCGCTGTCGCTGTCCTACAACTGCCACAGTCACATCATTAGGGTGAAGAAGTGTAAAAAAGTGGGTCGTTGAATGTTTTGTATTTTGTCTATGTATTGTGTGCGCAATATCTTTGACGAGCAAGTGGCGTTTGAACGAAGCATCAATTCAATGAACATTTTGAAGCAAGCCGAATGGAACGGAAGAGTGTTGGAGTATCGAGTACCTACACGAAACGAGTGTTGACTGTCGAGTGAGTTATCAAGTTACTGGCTGGTTGTGATTACTAGCCTGGCATTACTTTTCTAAACGAAAATCGGTTAAATCAATACTAATTCTGCTCTTCAATACGCGCTATTTATGGTTTGTGTTTAAGATAAATATGGTGTTAATATTAATTTGCGTCAGAAACCTCTTTCTCGGGAGTTATTGTGGACTAGAATAATGCTAGTGTATTTTACTATCACTTTAATTTAGGAGCCATTTACACATGGTGAGAAGTCACGTAGTCTTTTACCGTGAGTGAAATGATTCATTTGGAAAGATATCAAGACCGTATAATTGATTGCTAGTGTTCAATTTATTAAAAAAAAATGGATAGCAAGAACATTCAGAAAAATGCGATGCATAAAAGTGCAGAATTCAATTTTACGCCACCTCCTGAAGCACCCGTATTTGAGCCTACGCCCGAAGAGTTCTTGGATCCGCTGGGATATATAGCAAAAATACGCCCAGTTGCTGAGAAAACTGGTATATGCAAAATAAAGCCCCCGTCACGCTGGCAGCCACCTTTTTCATTAGACGTGGACAAATTAAAATTTGTCCCTAGAATACAAAAAGTTAACGAGTTGGAGGCCATTACGCGTTTGAAATTATTGTTTCTTGAAAAGATATTAAAATTTTGGGACCTGCAAGGATCACCATTGAAAATTCCCATGATTGAAAACAAAACTCTGGATTTATATTGTCTTAAGTTTTGGGTTGATGAAGAAGGTGGCTTTGAAAATTGTAACAACTCGAAAAAATGGCGAAAGATTGCTACAGCCATGGGTTACAGTCAGAGCACAAATACTATGGTTTTTCTCAGGAGCAATTATGAAAAAATATTGTTACCTTATGAAATCTTTGAAAATAGTAAAGCTGATATTTTTAAATCTGTAAAGAAAACAGAACTAAAAGCTGAAACAAAAGATGAAGGAGATGGAAAAGTGTTGATTACAGAAATACCAATTGAATCAATTACAAGTACAATGAAAATCAAGCATGATTTTGATGTTAAAGATGAAAAACCTCACACAAGTATTAAAAAGACAAAGACAGGATCAGATATTAAATTAAATATTGAAAATATTCATAGTACCCCAGAGAGCGAACAGGTGAGACGCAGTAGAGAGTTGAGGCGGTTAGCTTGCTATGGTCCAGGACCAAAGATGCCTGGTTTAAATGATGAGGAGTTTGATATTACAAAATCAAGGAAGAGACCCCGTTATGATCTTGATCCTTTAGCTATCTATCAATGTGCTATTTGCCAAAAAGACCATAGAGATGATTTACTATTAATTTGTAATGGTTGCTCTGACACATATCATACATTTTGTTTGAAGCCACCTCTTAGCTCAGTACCTGATGGAGATTGGCGGTGTCCATGTTGTATTGCAGAGGAAGTTCACAAGCCTGCCGAGGCTTTTGGCTTTGCTCAAGCTGAAAGAGAATACACATTACAGCAATTTGGAGAGATGGCTGACAAGTTTAAATCAGATTATTTTGGCATGTCTGGACACTTAGTTCCAACAACTGTGGCTGAAAAAGAATTTTGGAGAATTATTTCCTCAGTGGAAGAAGATGTGACAGTGGAATATGGAGCAGACCTTCACTCAATGGATCATGGTTCAGGCTTCCCTACAAAATCATCCCTCAATTTATATCCAGGTGACCAAGAGTATGTTGATTCAGGATGGAATTTAAATAATTTACCAGTACTAGATGGGTCAGTTCTTAAATTTATCAATGCTGATATATCTGGAATGACTGTACCTTGGATGTATGTTGGTATGTGTTTTTCAGCGTTTTGTTGGCATAATGAAGATCATTGGAGTTACTCTATAAATTATTTACATTGGGGTGAAGCTAAGACTTGGTATGGAGTACCAGGCAGTGGTGCAGAGCTGCTTGAAACTGCTATGAAAGCAGCAGCACCTGATCTCTTTAAAACACAGCCTGACCTATTGCATCAGTTAGTGACCATAATGAACCCAAATATTTTAATGGCAGCAGGTGTACCAATATACAGAACTGACCAAAATGCAGGGGAGTTTGTTGTCACTTTCCCTAGAGCCTATCATGCAGGCTTCAATCAAGGATATAATTTTGCTGAAGCTGTTAATTTTGCACCTCCTGATTGGTTAAAAATTGGCCGTGAGTGCATAACACACTATAAAAACCTTAAAAGATTTTGTGTTTTCTCTCATGATGAACTAATATGTAAGATGGCACTGGAAGGTGATCGCTTGGATTTGGAGACAGCTCTGGAAACTCAAAAAGAACTAGTAAGGGCCACTGAGGAAGAAGGTTCGTTGAGAGCTTTAATAGCTAAGAAAGGTTTAAAGAGTGTCCGTAGGACAGCTTTTGAGCTACTTGGAGATGATGAAAGGCTCTGTGAGGTGTGCAAGACTACATGTTTTTTATCTTCAGTAGCATGTAGCAATTGTAAGCATATGGTATGCTTGCAGCATGCAGATGATCTTTGTCAATGTGCTTTGGACAAGAAAACTCTAAACTATCGCTATGACATGGATGAATTACATATTATGTTACAAACTATAGATTTTAGAGTTAATAGTTTTGATAAATGGATGACAGAGACCAAGAATATATTGCTTCCTACGGCCCCTGATATTGGGCGGCTCCAAAAGTTGAAAATTTTGATAGATGAAGCTGAAGAACTTAAAATACCAAAGTGTGCCCTGCTAGCACAGTTACGAGAAGAATATGCAAAGGCAACACATAATGTTGAACCAATTATAATAGAGTTAGATGATGATTAAAAAAATCATAGACTGGGACTAGTACAAAGATTCAATCTTACAATTGCAAAAAGAAATAGTGACTGTACCTACTTTATTCTTATAATATTGATTTCTGTTCCCATCACAGTAAGGCAGCTTTAAGGATAGGACTCACACTCCTGATAGCAAGATATAATCCCAATTCTTGAGATTTATTACAATAAAAATGGTGATTTATTTTATTTTGTAATCCAATGGATAATAAACAAGACTATTTTTTCATCTCCCTAGTTTATAATCTAACAAATAATTAATTGACATTGCATATATATATAAATACTGAATAAAAAATAATTAATGTTATGTAAAATACTTATTTGTATGTATATTTGAAGCTTGTGAGCCATAGGTATCTAGATGTTGTAAATATTTTTTAGTTTTCAATTCCTTATAATAATTTCAGTTAGTTGTATGATATTAATAGTGACATCCCACCGGATTATAAAGAATAAGATACTTTAATATGTTTTGTTTTGAATTTGTTATAATGTACTCGTAAAAGGATTTACTATTGATTAAAATTCCAAATAAGAGGGTTTCATTTCGGACTCAGATTGTTTTTGCTTCTCTTAAATATGAATTAAAAGTAATCATTAAACCATTTATTGCACAGTTGAACTGCTTTTCAAATGTGTAAAATGACATTAAAATTATTTTTGAAATATAGTTATGGAAGTAAAGTTAAATAATTACACGCCAAGGATTTATTTGAACCAAATAAATAACGAAATTAAAGTGTTAGCATATCTCCATTTTATAGGGATATGTAATTATTAAATATTAAGAACTATTTTAGGAATGTTGATCTCAATTTAATTAGCATTATAAATATATAATCAACAAAATTGTAATAAACTTATGATAATGATAAATTGTATATATATTTATAATGCTTAGTAATTACTGTACTGAAGCATGCTATATATATTGTTGCTTATTTATTCTTAATGTGTAAGTTCTTCAAATTTAATGTTACTTTAAAAACTGATTTAATAATTAGTTTCAAATAGTATTGCAGATGCAAAAAAACTCAAGCCATGAAATAATTGCCTGACTTTAAATGTCTAATAGTATTTTACTTAATTTGTGTTAAGGCAGCGATCAAAGTTGTCTTATTAAGGTACACTTAGTGTATATTTTAAATTAATCTAAAACAATCAATAGTTACTAAGGCTTAAATAAGTATGTAATGTAATTGTGGCATATATTATAACTGAAATAAAAAAAATGCATGGCTATGAAGTTAAAAGTTAATTAAAAATTAAAGAAACTTAGCCAATATTAATATTTATTCTAGGAAAATAAGGTACATTGTGAAAATTTGTACATGGGACATAAATTCAAAAGAGAAATAAATTTTCCAGTGTAATGATCGGCGTTTGATAGATTAAAACTCAGTATAATTTAAGGCTCTATTCGATGCAAACGTGTTTAAAAGGCGAACGTTACCAGCGTTATATCTTTTGTAACTTTGGGGATGTAAAATAACCTAGGATATTTTGTATAATGATTCAATGTTTAAATACTAGAAAATATTTACAAATAAACAAAGAGCACCAACATGGATCAGACTATTTGCTCATAGGATAAAACAATTTAGATGTACACCACTTTATGACTGATTTCTTGTATTCATATTGTTCTATAACATTATGGTTTTGTAACTTTAGTAAATTATTTTGAGTTGTGTGATTATTTCTGTGATTCCAAATTTTTATTTGCCGCTGACAAATATGAGTATAAACATTAAAGATTAAGAGTGTGAGTATTAATTACAATAGAGTAAAATAATTAAATTCTTTATTAATTTTACTTTGTTTTTATTTTCCCCACTTCATGACTAAATACAATGTACGGTGCAGTGGTTTGTTGGTCATCTTTGCCTTAGTACTCCGCCAACGCAATTATTCGATGGGTGTTCCACCGAATAATATGAATAATACGCGTTGCCGGCGTACTTTTATGTACGGTACGGATTTATGATACTGCGGCACAAATGGACCGGAGTGATATGATATTACGCACTGTTAGCAATTCTTTCGTTGCTTTCTCCCCTGTCCCCCTCCTGCTGATTCTAGGAGGGGAGGTTCTCACAGGAGAAAATGCACTTGTGACTTGAGTAGCAGGTGTTCATGGGCAGGCGATAGTGACTTACTATCAGGTTACCCTGTTCGTTTGCCCCCTTATATTATAAAGAACCTACAGAAGGCCACAATGAGCCATCGTGTAGTCAGTGCTGTTAGTAATAGCCGAGCTTCATAGTAGGTTAATTATTGATTGACAAACTATTATTATTTGATAACCTTAGGAACATTAACTGAGAGAATTTTTGACTGCTTTCTAAACGTACTGTATAAGGTACCTATTGTACGTGTATGTAACATGGCAACGACGTTATTATTAGGTATGTACTAAATATGCATTGCAACGTCTTCATTAACTGTAACATGTCTTAGTCTAATAGGGTAGAATCTTAGGCATAAAATAATTATGCAGCCTAAATCATTCAATGTTTTTATTGGTTTGATAACTTCGAATCAGCATTAAAAATGATTTGACGACGTCATGCCATCGTATTTCCCACTACATATAGTTTTGACGTTTAAATAAAAAGATATTGATTTGATTTGACAGCCATCTATCCCATTCACTGATATTAGCTTCTCAGTGCTAATTATTTAAGGCGCCTTTTTCCAGAGCTAATTATAACCTAACAGCACCATGAATTTTACAACACAAGCCGAAAAAAAAAACACGATTTTGACGGTCCCCATTTTGACTATGCCGATGCGACGATGCCTCATTCTTTTAGTGCTACACAGCTAAGAACTTGGGCTGCAAAATTAGCACACGTAAAACTGGCCAAGTCATCATTTAGGCTTACAAAAGCCTGCACTAAACGTAAACAAAATTTCAAAGCATTCTCAAAGGCGAATACAGACATCACGAGGCTTGTGCAGTGAACCACCGTTCTTCGTATGCTTCGCAATATATGGACGTGCATAAACGTGGCGAAGCATATGCTACGTAGTGTAAGGGCGAGCCAGCATTTGTCGGCAAACGGTCCACGATCATAGCGTACGTGTGAACGACGTACCTAGCCAGACACTTAACGCTCAAAGCATGCATAAGCTGAGAAAGTGAAGCTATTCGAGCCATTCGGAGCATGATCCAGCATCATACAATCATAACACGTAGCCGCTCCTGCTTTAAAAAAAAAATTGATTCGCTGGCTTTCCTCGTGTGTAGCATATACCTCGCCACATTTAAAGATACGCACATTGCTAGGCAAGTACTTAGCATCTGGTTGGATTGACAGGAGCATGTTTCAGTTGACCTGAGCATGCGCTGGTTTTATTTTTACTCGACGCAAATTCAAATCGAAGCTTGCGTTGCGAGGCGTGTGCAGTGCATGTCTCGCAATGTTTGTATCTGCCTTAACATGTGACGTCTGGGAATATATTTGAATCCATAGGGATTAAAATATATTCGACTTAGGTTTGAATCTACGTATAGATATTATGACGTAATTAAATGAGGTGTTGGGATATGAATGAACTTATGACAAACTGTGTGGGTAGACTCGTAAATAAAAAAAACCTAGTGCGAAGTATGTAAATTTTATTAACTGTGTAAACATTCAAATAAACGTATATAAATATTTTTGGTGTTGTAACCGTGATTAGATCACTATAACTTGTTGGGTATATCAATATTACTCACTTAAGTACTAAAGATTCTTATAAAAATACCTACAATACATAATTAAGTGGTTTTCTATGATATTAATGCGTTCAGGTACCAACTTGTTTCTAGATGATAGGCGTTTTAGTTCACCTTTTTTATTCACAGTAATGTATCCCAGTGGTACGGATCGCGGTTTAACAGAGGGTACGAAGTGTAAAAAGACAAATAAGTTTTAATACAACTTCATTAGTGCACATATATTAAATACTTAAGTAAACATCTGACTTCCTATAAAGGAGCCATTCATTCATACTTAAAGAAAGCAGTCAGTGATTCTACCTTACATTTTGAAAAAGTCTACTAACATTACAAATGAAAAAAAAAATAACATACATAAAAATATGTCACTTTATGATCTGAATAACAATTTTAAATCTTTTACACTTCTTAATTTGCTAAGATTTTTATTATACTGTGAGTAGAAATATGGTCTAAAAAATGTAAAATATAATAAATGCAAAATGACAACATACATTAGCAATTAAATATATTTAAAAATCATTTGTTCATCAATACATTTGTTAGGTAACTGTAATCCCTTTATTAACATTGTTTATAATCTTGATGAAAAATCCTTAAAAGTATTTTATATCCTAAAATCATGTCTATAGAACACAAGAGATATTTATTTTCAATTAATTATAGTCATTTTGCTAAAAAATTAAGGAATGACCTGCAATAAGCGAAGTGCACAATAACAGTGTAAACTCCTACTAATATTATGAAGTAACTTTGTATGTCTGTCTGTTATGCTTTCACGCCTAAACAGCTGAACCGATATTATTGAAATTTGATATGGAAATACATACTTTGATAAGAACGGACCGACATTGGCGGAGCCATGGGCAAAAGTTAGTGTTATATAATAATATCTATGTAGAATTAAAAAGATTGATACAAATGCCTTAAATTGTGTTACTTGTCTTCAATTATTTTATAAAGTGGTAGAGTAATATGCTTTGGTGGTCGTATAGAACAGGCTAACGAAAACTTGCTTCGCATTCGATCGCTTGAACTGCAACTTAAAATCGCCGTTTCCCTAAGAAGTAGATTATAGCACCCATCTTAAGTAATGTATGATACTATCACAACCTTAGCTTATTAAGTACAAATTAATACAAAAATCAGACTCCCTTAGTATTTAGAAGAATCAGGTAGACATTTTGCAGGGCAAGCACGAAAAATCCCATAGAATGTGTTCACGTCCCCATTAACAATATCTGCTGGAAGCGTCACCTTGGTGAAGTCATCGAAATTTATAAAAAAAACATAGTTAAGCCCGTGCACTAGGTAAATTTTGTCCGAATTTTCGGCCTTGCCCTTATAATGTCATTTTGGAAGACACATTAGTACTGGTGTTAAAAATAAGAGGATATACATACGTACATCTGAGTATATAAATACTGAGTATTATTTTTTTACATTTTAACCAGAGATTCATTATTAATATTCGATATTACTAGTGCATTGTCAAGCTTAAAGTAAATAACACAAAAATAAAAATACTATTGCAATTTTGTAAGCAGTCTTTCGAAGTACTAATTACCATACTATAATATATCGTGGTCGTGAATTGGAAAAATTTGATTGTAAATCGACAGGAGATTCGCTAATTCGAAGAGAGAATTAACTTTTTACCTTCACTTAGAGTCCAACTCTAAAGTTCGTCTGTTTTCAATAAAAAAAGTTTAATAACATCTGTCGCGCTAAACGTCCCACTACATGGACGCGTAAGGAAAGGGCTGTCTTGGTTAAAGTAAACTACATTCATTTTAATAGACCATTACCCTATAAAGTATATCAGAAGAAGAGTCGAGTATAACAACTAACATTTCGACAACCAGCAGCACACACACACATACATATGTCCCTATATATAATCATTCATCTTACTATGTACCACGCGGTAGCTATACATTTGAGAGGAAATATTTCAAACACAGATTTCAAGCAATTGTAGATGTAAATTTTTACGGTAATATTTAAGACTTCTCTTAAGTACATAAGTATATGCATTTTACAAATATTCAAAAGTATTTGTTCTAAAAAATATTCTATTTTTCATTAAATATCTTATGCTAAAATGCGGTGTTAAAGGGAAGACACAATCACAGGAATTGGGATACTTTTAAGTCTTTATGAGCAAGGCAGTCACAAACTAAATATTATTATATTATATCTATTTGACACTAATTATACATTACGTTTTACATAGTCAGGTATATGGTACCTCCTAATCTATTTCAATATTGTAAATGTAACAGTGTGTAACCGAATTTCGAAACAATCTAAGTTTTGGACCTACGGAACGTCAGCAGCTTTGTAAGAAACAATTCGATACAAATTCTCATAACAAAAATATATATTGGATAAATTTAACCAGATATTAATAACATAATAATTTTATAAAACAAAATAAATAATTTATGTAATGTCTGTGTACGACACTGCCACATAATATATATCATGTAAATGATGTTAGTGATTAGACTTATAATTCTGGAGCGTTTATCACCACTTTTACTCCAGCATTAGCGGCATCACAATTAGGCAATGAACTAGACTTTGTGCAGCCATCATGCGGAGGCGATTTAAGTTATAATAAGGTTTTAATTAACTTAAATATACTTTAAGCTAACATATTTTTCCTACTGAAGTCATCATATTTAATTACATCACCATTAATTCATTCTTTATATATTCCATTGTCATAGTAAATAAACACAAGATGACTGACTCATAAATTATTTTATCTAAGTCTACAAGTTTGTATATATGCGTCTTTCAAATATATTATAAATTGGTTTATTTTATAGTCATGTGTCTTACGTAAGGCGTAATCTCACTTTCGACTCAACGAAGGATAAATGAAGAGCCGCTAAACTGGCACTTAAATATATGTATTTAAGTATGCTGTACCTTGACTAGTCCATCCACATTACGCTCATTCCGTGCTCACTGTACTCGAGTGACACTTACATCTAATTTTGGGCACATTTATTTATTTACTAGTAATACAAGCTTACAGTTTTCATTTGACTTCGTATCGTAATCATATGTACGATAAAACTTGAAATTCTCAGCTGCTTGGTACACAATTTCTTTGAAAAGTTGTGTTCATATTTTATGGTCGGATGTCTAGTTTACAAATTTACAAATTTAAGTTCCAAATTGAGTGTTTAAGTTTCCTTAAAAAGGCGATGATAACATAATGTCTAAGTGTTCAGTTCAATGTGTTCAGATTTGTGTCGTCTTTGCTAGAGGGTTTAACAATAATGTGTGACTCATGTTATTAATCTTTTTTTTAAGAAAAAGGAGAAATTTTGGATTACGCCGAAAATGACAATAATATGGAAATTGATAGCACATTGTTTAGAAATGTGTACGTAAATCAGAAAACGCATTATTCGAAAAAATACTTTTCAAAATGCGTTTTTTTTTCAGGTTATTTATGGGTTACAACCTCCTAGCACATATTGTGACCTCATCTTTCTGTGACACGTTGAATAATATAAAGGTATCCCGAATATCTAAGTCATCTATAAAGTCGTGACAGGTACGTCATCTATGTCGTTACCGTGACGGTGTCCCTCAGTTCCCTGCCCTTGGTTTCGATAGGTAAGGCCAGGCAGGCACCAGCTGCCAACACGGCGACTAGAGAGTATACGCTGGTTGCTATCACTATTGAATTCTTCAGTAACACCTGGAAACATATCAGTTAAACTTCATTAAACATATCAATCTTTGTAACTTTTACTCGCGGCAGTTTTAATTCTTGTCAATCAATTTAATTAGCGCTCTAAATGAGCTTGATGAAAGCAAGGTATCGTTTTGTATCTCTAACAACGACAACATGTTAATATGTTGAGTGTGGAGTAGTCAAACAGTAACAAGCAAATAAACTAACCCATAAAAACTAATTAGTTACAATTTGCTAAAAAAACAATAGTTGAAGATTTATTTTTTACTTCCGAGGTGACAAACAAATTACTTTATTTCTTTTTGTAAACCGTTATATGTATCATAGCATATACACACTTACAATAAAAATAATGCTATGCTAGTCCCTTACAAACTTAATATATACTAACGCTACTAGGCGTTTACATGTTTTGATTGTAAGGGACAGCTTCGAGTCAAATTCATGCACGGAATACTTCCTTAGACACATACATCGATCTACTAAGCAAGAAATAATAGCAATTCAAAAAGGGCCGTTACCTAATTCTTTTTAAATAAATATATTTAAAAAAGAAAACGAGAATTCGATAAAATCCATCTGTCAGGTTACACAACAAATTAAAAAAAAAACAATAAAGTTATAATAACAGTCTTAATGTCTAAATCTATCTGTAAAGATAGAAAACTTATCCCGATAAAAAAATACACATACATACAGCCTTGGCCAAAAGTATTAGGCACCCCAGAAAAATGCACAATTCATGTTTACCGATTGAACTATGAATAAATGCTTATATTAGATGACATGCCGGGGTCACAAATAAATTCCTAGAAAAGAAAGCAGCTATCTGTTATGGTCATAAAACACCTGGTGACTGAAAACAAAGGATTTGTTTTTATGCGTTCTTATCACTCAATGTTTGGTCACTTGTGTTCAGGACTCTAACGAGTAAACAAGCTTTTATTTCTAACATAGTGATTAAATTGACGCGTAATTTATTTAAAAATGCCGAAAAGAAGTGAAATTAGTTTGGAAAACCGAACAACAGAAGTCGCAAAAAGAAATTGATAAGTTAGTGAAACGTTCGCGTTGTGCTGTGCAATCTGCTATCAAACGGTTTGCTGAGACTGGCAGTCACGCTAATAAATCAAGAACAGGCAGAAAACTTCGAAGCGCGAGGATAAAAAATTAATACGCTAATCTATGAAAGATCGGAAGAAAACATCACCAGAGCTTGCTGCTACTTTGTCCGAAGAGGCTGGAAAGCCAATAAGTGCTCGGACCACCAGAAGAAGACTTGGAGAAGCAGGCTTAAAAGGATGCAAAGCCAGGAAGAAGCCCTGGCTTTCAGAAGCTAACAAAAGAAAACGACTTGAATGGGCTCTACGGCATCAACATTTTACTGAGGAAGATTGGGTCAATGTGGTATGGTCTGACGAATCTAACTTTGAGGTAACTAAATTTTACTGCTTTTGTTATTAATAACCATGGTCAGTTATTTATTTAACTAAAATAATAAAAGTTAAGGCAGTTTAAAAAAAGTGTTTTTTTTTCTTTTATCAACAGATATTTGGAACGCCAGGTGTGACCTTCGTGAGGCGGTGTGTGGGCGAAGAATACCATCCAGATGGCGTCGTACCGTAAAGCATGGCTACTGATGGGATTGGCGAAATGTTTGTTTGCGAAGGTCGTATGAACAGCGAAAAGTACATAAAAGTGCTTAAAACTGCGCTTATGCCTTCGGTAACGAGTATTTTCGGCGATACCAACTTAGAGGGAGTTATATTCCAGCAAGACAATGCATCTTGTCATAAGTCAGCGCCTACGATGCGTTTGTTTACTGAAAACAACATTGACTTGTTTGATTGGCCAGCGCAGTCACCAGATTTGAACCCAATTGAACATCTTTGGAGCATTTTGAAGCGCAAGATTAAAGAGCATAGTATCACATCGAAAACGGCATTAAAAAATGGGTTAGTATAAGAATGGCATGCCATTACAAGGGAGGATTGTACTAAGCTTGTACGCAGCATGCCAGCTAGAATTAGTGCAGTAATTAAATCCAAAGGTGGACCGATTAAATTTTAAGTTTTTTTCATTCTTTTTTGTGTAATTTAATGGTAATAAGTCAATTCAAAAAGTATAAGTTGTTTTTTCCCTTGTTTTAAGTAAAATGTAGGGTGCCTAATACTTTTGGCCAAGGCTGTACAGTTCCATGAATATTTAGTATTTAATCGTGACGCGATTACTAAATATTCGTGATTTGTCAACATAGAACAGACGTAATTTTAGCCTACTGCAGACTTTTAAATTTTTGTTGATAATGTACGAGAGCTTTTTAACAATTTAGTAGGTACAAAGTCCTTGTATATATACACAAATTATTTTTTCAGGAAATAAATATACATTATTTGTAGTACCTTTCTCTACTATTATATTATTATAGCAATAGCGGATTTTATTTTTTAGACAAGTTTTCAAATAACCGTGATTCAGAAACTTTGATTACTCACCTGTGCGACATAAGGTGTAATCATGGCCCCCAGCCTCGCCACAGCACTGCAAGCGCCAACTGCAGTTGCTCGGAGCGCAGTCGGGTACACCTAAAAGCATCGACCGTAAAGACAGTAAGTCATAGTAAACTTTCGAAAATGCTTAGAAATACAATATGGTATCATATCAATATGGTGTCAAGTCAAATCAATTCTTTTATTATTTTACAGTCAGACGGTACGTTTATTTGTGGTATTATATGTAGGCTCCTAGCTTTTTTTATATATTTAAGTGATGTTATTGGAAATATTTGTAACGTATAGTTACAATAGACACTGATTTCATTGTTTGAAGTAGTTTTATTATTAAATTACTTTTTCAAAAGATTTAGATTACTTAAATTATTGTGTAATGTTCTGAATAAAGCTTATTAGAATTCTTATGATTTATTCAGTTAGTTTTACATGTTAAATGAAACTTGATTTCAATTGAAATGTCGTTGCAGCGCCATCTGCTGGCGGCCTGCTCAAGAGTATTGTTTGTTTCATATTAAAAAAGGCGGTTTTAGTAAAATAAGTCACCGTATAATAAGTCATTAATATCTTGAATGTTGAGCTATATTTAAGAATTACTTTGTAATTTTATAATTTATTTGTTGATAAAAGATACTGTAGTTGCTATAACCGTTGTAGAAATGATTAATACAGGATGTCATAGTGAAACGACATATTAGACTAGCGATCGTAGAAGAATAAACAAGTGATTATAAGTTCGTGTTTCATTGAAATGGCAACTCTGATGTGGTATTGATGTAGTAACTCAGACCTAGCGCCGACATATACTATTACTTCGTCATATTTATTTTTAAAGACATTTAAAAATAATACATGATAATAAAGTTAAAAACAGTAACAAATCCATCATATTTTGTTACCTCTGGGGTATACACATAGGCAGCTTGAAAGAGTCCGGCGATGATACCTCTTGCAACGAACAGCACACACGTCAGGAATGTACGGCTACAAAAAACAAAATATACAGTGAGACTTATTTGCAAATAATTTTTGACATCCGACACACAACGACATCTAGTTTCAAACCAAACCGAACTACGGTAAATCTTAGGTTTTACCAATAAATCTTAAGATTTACCGACAGGAGTTGGTAAATAAAAAAAAGGCAACGATTTTCGGACTTATAACATTAGAAACTGGTACATGCGAGGTTTTAACAGGGGCGGTGGGTAAATGTTGGTTTTGGCAAGAAAATAATCGGTAGATACTTTATAGTTAAAATTTCGGTTAGGTTAGGTTAGAACCACCATTTACCAAGTGAATGGTGGTAAATGCTCGAAATGCGAACTTTTCCAGTAGTTCGGGCTTTTACAGTAACATATGGATCAGTATGTTTTATATCGAATACTCTGCGCGATTGAATGACTAATTGTATTCAATACATGTAGTTTATGTTTTTGTATAAAAATATAATGTAGAGCAAGCCTGATAACAATTGACTTGTTTATAAAAATAAACTACGAGAGACAATTATGGTACCAACCTACGAATTACTGCTTAAAATAAATACTCTTAATAATATTAAAATACAACGTACAAATTACTTGTCGGTGTATTTTATTTTTATAAGTAAAACATACTTTGAACATGTGCCGAACATATAAGACACTTGTTTAATAAAAAATTCAAAATAAGTACCCTGATTCAAAATTTGAAGAGTTGATGATTTTGAAATTAAGCACGCTTAATCAGATACATTCAATATAAAACAAAAAAATAAATTACTTTAAATTAGCCTACCTGTTTAGCAGCTATAACGCCATAGACATACAATTAATATTTTAGATATTCACATTTTTAGAGAGTTCACATCTTTAAAGAATTAGAGATACACAGGTTTAACTTAAAACAAAAGAAAGAATTCATGCGTTAGTATTACTTACTTTCCATTATAGATTAAAACGCAGACACACATTGCGAATATAACAAATTGCGTAGCCATAGTTTTCTTGCGACCAAATTTTTCAATAATGAATATTGTAGCGAATATACCTGAGAATTAAGAAAATACTCGTGTATTACAGCATACTCTTACTTTAGTGCAAAATCATAAAATGATGAAATTGATAAATTAGAAAATATGTTCTACCACATTCACACATCATCCATCCAAACTAAGCAGATCTTGTATCACACGCGCCACATAACTCTGCGTCAATGAAGTTGGCTGCACACCGAATGTTGCGCTGGTACACTAGCAAACAAACGTACTGAGCCTAGAAACATTTTATATTTTGTAGTGAATTATTAATATTAACGAGTAATAATAAAATTCAATTTATTTAATTCAGATTTGTAACTAATTATATTATGTACACATGTGTCTGTTTTCGAGCGATTACGTTAATATTTTAAATACTAAAGTGGCTAAAAAGTAAAATACATATAACGCTTTTGGTAAGAACTCCGCTACTAGGGAATACGTCATCAATTAATAGACACTCCTAGAATTATGTTCGAAATTTAGTCTATTCACTTACAAACATAAACAAAACAGATAACAAACACGAACAAAACAAATAACAATATTAACATTTTTTTTTATCAATTATGTATGTTAGTGCAAAGCAGATAAGTCACTTAATGTGCTAGAGCGAGATGCACTACTGACCTTGCAGCGATGCAACGCGTCGGCGACCAAGTGTCCCCTCGTCTCTTTCCGATGCGCAGAAATTACCCCTCTGATAACTAAAATATCATTTTGCTGCGCTTCCTACGCAAACTTCCTGAACACAGAGTTATATGGCGCGTACTATACTATGGGTACTTGAAAACTAATTTGAATACATTATTTTTTGTAAATTCATACATATTACACATAGAAACACCCCAACCAGATCAAACATTAAATGTTCATGCACACAAATGTTTGACTCGAACGGGTATCGAACCCGCGATCTTTGGAGTAGCAGTCCATTACACAAACCACTACGCCATCTGGCCGTCCAGTAACAAAAGAGTAGTGTACCGGGGAACTCGGCGAGCGTGGTCCACAGCAGGTCCATGTAGTCCGTGGTCTGCAGCGGGCGGCAGTCGGCCGCGCACGCCTCCTCGAGGCCGCCCGGGGACGTCTCGAACAGCTCCGTCGTCATCAGCACCAGCCCGTAGTAGCAGAACGCGCACGACATCCTGCGAATATAATTTATGTTATACAAAGGCTTTGTTCTAGAGCTTCTGACTTAGGATGGATTGTCGTTGTTCGTGTATGGAAATTATGCTCCTACTAGCGTAATGTAATACCTCAATGTATGGTTCTTGAATTAGATGGTGTTTCTTCATCATCATCATTAACGATAACCTTTATTAGTCCACCGCTGGACATAGGCCTCTCCTTAGTAAGGAGGTTTTGGCCTACTATACGCCGCTGGCCAGACGGGTTGGTATAGAGTTTGTCAATTTGCCATTTCCACTTTGCTATTTAGGAAAATAAGAAGAAAGTCGTTAAAATGGGACAAGGCCACAAAATTTGCCTTACGTATTATTAACATGTCAATCAGCATAAAACTGTGTACCATATAAACCAGAGCAGTAAGCTAGTGTTCCTCAGGTGTGGTATGAGAAGATGCTTCAACCGGCCGCGCTGGCCGATGCCCACTGAGTCGTCGCACACCAATCGGCCCAATAACATGGGCCTACCGTTGTTTTGAGCTATCTGTAAGGAACACATCAAAGTTATACTCCTTTCATAAGTCATAAGTTTTTAGTCGTCCACTTCTCGCCAGGCGGCATCTGATTCACTCGGTTGTAGATATCAAGTTTATCACGCACAGCCACGACATGATCACATTAATCTTATACGAGCCTTCACCTGCGGTTCCGTTCGTCGGTTGTACTTCGTATATCCTTCACGAATTGATTTTTTGATTTGACAACAAACAAAACTAAAGAACAAGCCTACACACAAGCCGTGTTTGTTTGGCACTTAAGCTGTCGCAAAATAAATCTGCTTTTTGAATGTTGAATGTTTTAGTTTATAAAAGAGGTATTTACTGCATCGACTTACATGAATCTACACAACAAAAAGTTTTAAAGAGTATCTGGCTCTGCCTCGTTTGGGATCAGATGGCCGTGTGTGAAATGTGTAAGGTTATTATTATAGAGATTTCTTACCTGTTCCAGAGTAGCTAAAGCTTTATCGGGTTCTCCACTAGCAACGTGGAATCTAGCGGACTCTGGTAGCCACTGAAACCGAAGTAATTAAGTATTACACAATATGTATGTTTCACATCAACAGTCTTTACTAGTCCACTGCTGGACATATGCCTCTCCTTAGAAAGGCCCACTTTAATGTAATTTTTCCGGCGCCTAAAGTTGAACCCAGACTCAGGGAGCAGTAACGCCGGCAGTAGTCACTTACCATCAGGTCACCAGTCTTGAAAAGATTGGTTGTGCGAGGAAAATAGTTTGTTGAAGAGAGCACAGTGGTGGATCGCCTACTACCCAAATGATGGGTTTTAATTTTTTTAACCGCAAATGTAAACAAAATGACTTACAGGTGATATAAGTGCAAACATGAGCAGCGGAATGGTCGATAATGCAAGTAGCCAGTGTACTCCAAGCGACGGCATTACCACCAGCGCTAATGCTACTTCCAAACATGCACCCAGCGCCCAGAAACACTGAAAAACATTTGATTATTGTTTTCTCATATTTTACCATTACAGGAGATTCTTCGTATATTTATATGTCAGCGAAACTCTTCATTCCATTTGAGAAAAAAGATAATCTTTGTCAACCGTCATGGCAATAAAAGTAGGAATAAATTAATGAAAAGGTTATTTCTTCCTTCGCTCCTCTCCTACCTTCTAATACAATAAAACAACAACAATATTTTTAATATATACTAATATATTAAAAATATAACTTTGTAACACATAACTAAAAAAATAATAATGTGTTATATTTAATAAATAATTATATAAAGTATTACGATAAAGTATGTGTAATGTGTATGTATGATGTAAACACATCTTTAAAGATTAAATTTCTTTCAAAATGTGTTAACTTTTCCTTGCTTTCACAGCAATACGGACTTCATGGGACTAAGCCTCAACTCTCTGGCCTGTAACAGCATGCATCGTTCTTCGTTAATCATCGCCATTTTAATTCAGCTATTTTGTAATGAGTTTTCAATTATCTAAATGTCATAATTTGTTTCTTGCCACGCAAGGCTACTTGGCCTTATTAAAACTAAAGTCGTGAGGTCGAACATGCTGTCGCATAATTCAGTAAAAGGTATAGTATAAAAGTTTCACTTACATCCAGAAGAACAACACATTTCGCTCTTTGTTTTGTAGGTAAAAACTCCGCGTATAGTGTAACACTGTAAGATAATATTTAGAATTTTATTAAAAAACGAAGTAATTTCATAAAATAAAAACCAACTGCCCTGCCATAAAAAAGGAATTCCATACAGACGCCTTATTGATTTACAAATAAAAATTAGTCATTCGAAATCAGATCATGTAACTTATGAACCCTGAAATCATAAGACTTGTTTTTCTTGCAATCATGTAAAAAGAACTAACAGCACTGTTAAACTTAAGAAGACTAGGAAAAGTCTGCAATTAACTGCGAAGATTAAGACTGAAAGTCCAGATACGACGATAGTGTATGGGTATAATTATTCTTTTTAAATTACTTAAATTTATAAACTTACAATATAGAGTAATATAAATTAGTTACAGGTTGACTCTCATCCATAAATGTACATATAACATAAGTAATAAAGTGATAAATATAACTTCATGATTTCCACTTATATACAAGAATGATTGTAAAGTGTAAAAATTATTTTGTTACAAAAACTGACCCTCACGGCCTCATCCTTATGTATATAAAATATGATAAGTACAAATTTATTTCTTTAAAATAATTACAAGCTATTTAAAAACAACTACCTAACTTTTTACTGTTAACTTCCTTTATCCTCGACTTTCACTCTTAGTTTTAGTCTTACACAATATGTTATGACAAAATAGTTTTAAAATATAAGCCGATTGACTTACGATTGTGGTACACATCCTATAGCAAATCCAACAAGACTCCTCAGAAATAATAACCACAGGAAGTTTGGCGCTATCGAGCTTAGTAATCCATAGTAGAATAGTAATACTCCACACATGCTTAGAGCCTAGAACAAAGAAAAAAATTATGTACTTTTTTACAAGAACCATTCTATTACATTATATTTATGCTTACATCTCCGCTTTTTAGGAATGTAGCATCAAGTTAAATTGTCTTTAACCTTCTGTAACTGAGTTTATTTAATGATATATGTATGGATTTTTTTTAGATTAAATTAATAAATCCTGAGATTAGTTTGTGCAAACAATAAAATTAACAACTCCTGACATTTCTAAATTTCTGTTGGACAAGGGACACAACAAACCAAAACCGTCAGTCCTGCACATGTTTAATGTTAAATTTACAGTGTTTTTTTCAAATAACTGCATGGTAGCCTACTGTGCTGACTTTTATGGGTTCAATCGCCATATGGGACAACTGTTTGTGTGATACAGAAATTGTCATTTGTTAACATGTAAAAATTTAAAGATTTAAAGTTAAACAACAGTTGTTTTTGTTTTAAAATAATTCAAAATATATTGTGAATAAACAAATGAAAGCTATGAAAGATGAAATATGTTATGAAGTCGACACGTCATATTTTGTTATGTAATGATGTAATGATAATTATGTACATATTAATATTTATGCAACATATGCATAAATATTCATAATCTGCTAAATGTAGGTTATAAAATGCTGTAACTGATCTAGATATTGCACAAGATTTGGTGGTAGGTGAAGTGCTAAGCAACACACTCAAGTATTTACTTTAACAAATTTAAGTAACAGCAATGGTTATGCTATAAATATAGTATTTTATTTTACTTACAGTTTTTCTTCCGTAACGATCACTGATATTACCCCAAAATGTAGAGCTAAGCATCATGCCTAAAAAAACTATAGTTGTTGTTAATGCTTGTTGGTACCTGTGAAAAGGTAAAAAGCATCAATTTACTAGACTTTACAGAATGTCACAAATATTAACATGTGATTAACATTTTAAATTAGATAGATAAATACTCTTAATTGCACACCATAAAAGTACAATTTAAAAATATGTTAAGAAACAGTGCAATCTCCAATCTTATCGCAGTCTCCAATCTCTTAGCAATACTTAGGTAAGTTATTAAGGGCCCACTCCCAGCAGGCAGCTTAGCTATCAATATCCTATAATGTGAAACTGGTACTAGTATATTTTACAATGAAGACATTTAGTCTTTATAAAGTGAAAATGATTGAGTATCAATAATCATATGAGATTCTGTTAGGTATTTTACAAAACAGACAGAGTTGTATCTTTAGATAATTTGAACAGTCTTCAATATATGCATGCAATAAATTGTGTGGTCCTTCACAAAGTTTGGTTAAGTTCAGTTAGGTTCAGTTTAAGAAATTGTAAATATAAACTGCCCTATCGTTTTTTGATCAGAAAATCAAAAAACACCTTATTCTTTTTGCTATGTATACTAAATTCTGTGCCTTTTGAAGCATACATAATATATGTGAGTATTGCTGCCCATAAAAAGTATAATTTCCCACATTTAGATTCTATGCCAATGCTGTACCAATGCCTAATGTCTTGGCAAGGTACTTACTTGCTGATATTCCACTCGCAGTGCAATGCAGGTGACAAAATGCTTAGTATTGTCATTTCCATTGAATCTGCCATCCAACACAGTCCAGTGAACAGAGACAGTTTCACTTGAAACCAGCCAAAACCAAGAGCATTTACTGCTTGGGTAACAGTGAAGGTATCTGAAATGGATTTTCTGATTAATTTTTAAATGTGATTTTATTTAATAAACATATTTAACATGTAAGTACTTAGAAATGAATATTCAAAATACTTTATTAAAGTATATAAGTTGAAAACATTTTTTTAAAATGACCAAATTTTAAGTTTTATTAACCTAGTGTGATTTAGAAAACAGTGAGACAACTATTTAAATACACCTAAAACTTATTGACTTATTAGCAACTAGCAGTAAATAAATCAGAAAAAAAATGAACTAATATATATGCAAAAAAAGAAAAAAACTGGATCATATGTAACTTAAGTTGTGTGGAGTAGACGTACCATCAGGGACTACGGAAACTGATGCCATTTCAATTTCTTGAGGAGGAGGCATCGCGGAGGCTGGAGATCGTGGTCGGACATGGCTATCGTCCAAATCCTGATATCCTTTAGAACGACCCATCACAATCAATCACAATCAATCACATAAACGGTGAACGAACACTTCTGACGTGGAATTAAACTTGCGACTTGCGTGTAACGGGAACTATAGCGGTTTTTACATTAAGACGCTAACCGTTAATGTTTCTCTAGACAAAAAACTCCTCAAGTAGCAAAATCTATCCCCGTATGGTTTTAAATCAACTTTCATATTCACTTTTCAATAAATCACAACAAATATAAACAAAACTACTGCACAAAGTATTTGTTTTGATTTTTGCGTTATACTTGTGACATTGACATTATATTTTTTTTTTGTCGTCTATGGTCTTGCATTGTTCTTTTTCTTTTATGGCAACTAAAAATATTCTCATGCATGCGAATTTCATAGGAAAGGCACGCTGTTGATGTAGTACAGGGAACAGAATTCCTAACAAACCGGACGCGTTCAGTCGAAAGCAGTAATAGATCTATAAACATTATAGGCTAAGGTGTATAATATAAATTACCTGATATACTAGTAAGTAGAAAAAAGGTTTTTCTACTTACTACTATATTTGTTTTTCAGGAAGTCGGTTATTTTAATTCCTAAGTTCCTCCTTTCTGCTTACTACGAGTTACGGTGGCGCCGAATAAAGAAATATCTCACTTCAGTAAAAGGGTCTATTCTGAGAGGTGATATGCTTAGGCACTTTGAAAATGTGAAACAAATTTTGTTATGATCTCTTGTGTCTGCCATTTTCAAGAGCTACATATATTTTGCATCGATTATGAGTAATGGCTAAAAGATATCATGAGACGGCCACCGTACCGCACGCACGGTTCTTACTCCAGGCGCGGATACAAGTGTATATATACAATATACAAGGGTATAGAGACTGCTGACAATAACTACAGTCGGGCCACTTTTAAAAGACGCATTTTGACAGTTGACATCTCTTCTAGTATGAATTTGACAGCCGTCAAAATGGGCTTCAAAAAGTGGCTTCTTGACTGTAGGTACGTTCGCATCTAGTTATTGTATCTTGATGTCAGGTGACCAAAAGTTTATGTACGCGCGGCAGTTTAAGTATGTGCATGTGTGTAGGCGAGCTGGCAACGTTGCGTCGAGTCACGAGTGACGAAGTCAACGAGAGTGCGAGTGTGAGTTTGTTTTTAAACCGAATCAAATTGATTATTAACATCGTTTGAAAAGAATGAAATTTTTTATGTTAGACAGACGAGTAGACGGGTCACCTGATGGAAAGTGACTATCGCCGCCCATGAACGTCTGCAACTCAGGAGTCACAAACGCGTTGCCGGCCTTTTAGGAAGGAGTACGCTCTTTTCTTTAAGGTTCGAAGGTCGTATCGGTCCGGAAATACCGCAGACGATAACCCGTTCCACAGATTGGTTGTGCGGGGCAAAAAGTGTCTCGAAAAGCGCATAGTAGTGGTTATTCAGTAGTAGTTATTTACCAACATAGAGTTTTAAGTTATCAATAGAGTGTTTATAACTTAGGGTGGGTAATACCTACGCTCGGTCGGACGGAGCAACTAGAACTAAACTCGCTAAAGTATATCGTGTGCGTTGCCCCAGCTCCCCCAGCAACTCTCCAATGATTGGATGCACAAAGTTTTACTTACTATACACTATTACACCACGTCATACACTAAATATCTGTTAAACTCAAATAATGAAATTCGAACTTTTTCCGCTGGGGCAACGCACACAAGTATATCAATATTAGTATATCACACATACGAAAAATCTTTACACAGTTTATAGCTACTCCGTTATATCCCTACCTCGGTAAAATCAAGAAAATGTAGTTATAATTAAGAAAAAAATAGTTATCAACACCAACCGTTTTAAATCGAAAAAAAATGGTTTATTTCGGTTTTAAACGGTTCTTCGTTCGGATTGGTTTGAAACCAGCCTTACATCTATAGTTGTGTCACCGCCTTACGGGATGGCGGTGCGTTTAACGCTAATATTATTATTTCTACAGCGATGAAAAGCAGCCTAACAAAATAACATTTTGTTTGCCCAGTATCAGTTTTTCATAAAAAATAATAATTTTGTTTGGGTATAATTTGTTTTAGCGTTATGGACACGAATTTTTTAATGTAGGTGGTTTTATATGCATACACACACGAAGCCTAGCCATTATTAACAAAGATAATTGTCACAATCTCTTCTGCAACTATCCTGATGCAAATTAATTAAAGCGGGTATTATACATACTGGTGATAAATTTTAAGAGTTTAGTATAAAAAAAGTTTTAGAGTTTAGTGTAAAAATACCTAATAAAAATAATTTATTTACACATATTAATTAAATCGGATTTAATGAATGATGTGCTGTTACTGGTTCTGTTTTTGATATTTTGATCTGATACGGAATTTTGTCCTACGAATGTAAAGGGGTCCTACAGCCACAAGCGTTCATCTCAGTGGCTGAGATAGTCAATAAAATAAAAGAGTAGTCAGAACTAACTTATGGTCAGTTTGGTTCTCTAGTGCTGTTGTTGAGCAGCCTTGACTATTTTTGGGTTTTAATTACAGTACCTACATTGGTTATCATTAACATTTGCCAGATTTAATGGGCACAAAATAAGTACCAAATTTTTTACCGACTTCAGAAAAAGAAGGAAGTTTACATAATATTTATTAGACTTGCAACGAATAGTATATTCGGCAGTATACCGAATACCGAATATTCGGCGAGGCCCCTGACCGAATAGCCGAATATTAGGCAAAAGTATTCGGCTGGATTTTAGCGCCAGAAACTTGTACAGACGTGACTTAAATTATGTACCTGTTTTATGTACCAATGACTACTTAATAAATGATTATAAAAGAAATGAGAACCTTACCCTTCTAAATTTAGATTTCCACAATACTGCAAATACATAGAATCCTCCATTTTTCCTATTCAGAAGATGATTATGTACCTATGTTATGCACCAAAGACTACTTAAATGATTATAACAGAAATGAAAATATGAATATATACGTAATCAATCGATTTTAATTTTTCATTTTACCAATTATTTCTCAATGACAAAATATATTATTTAAGTATTCGGTATTCGGCCGAATAATATGTAGATATTCGGTATTCGGCCGAATATAATAAAAGCAGCCGAATAGGCCGAATACCGAATAGTAACCGAATATTCGTTGCAAGCCTAATATTTATTGTTGCCTTAGAACTTCGTTATTTATGAACCAATCTAGAAAATTCTTCTTTTAGTCTAGTTCCATTTAAATTAAAAAAAATACGAGCCCTAAGGGATAAAAATTTTGGAATGTATTACAGTTTATTAAAATTCATCATGATGTAGATTGTAGATAGATGTAGACGACGCCCGGTTTGGCCGCGATATGGGTCCGAGTGGACGTCGTCTTCCCGGGCCCTCTCCGCCAAGCCCAGATACTTCATCTGGGCCTGAACCAGTGCGAGGACCGAGTTGACAACGATTGAGGCTCCAGGGGGAGGAACACGGCGGGGCCCATGAAATTAGATGGCCTCCGTCTTATCCAGGGCCACCAGTAAGCCCAGCGCCTCAATGCGCTCGATCACCACAGATACTCTCCTGGCCCCCTGACGCCGCCTCTTGAAAGTTCGCCCCCCAGGCTGTGACCAAAGTATCATCGGTGTAACAAATACAGTGGGAAAATCAGGGCGAAGGGCCCAGTCGAACCCTATAATCCGTAGGAGGGGTCCGAGAACAGACCCCTGTGGAAAACCTCACGACATGGGCCGACATCTCGGATTACCATCTCAGTCCTCGTATACTTTGGCACCCCATGATAGTGAAGTGCTTCCCTGATGCAGCTGAATGGCAGACTATTGAATGTGTTGGCGATGTCTAATGACACCACCAACAGCACGCCGCCACAGCTCACCGCCTCTTCGGTCACGGCCCTCAGGGGCAGCATAGGGCCAATGTGGCGGACGATGCGGCCACAGAGTACCCTCTCGTCTCGTCTCATCCACCACCACGATGGGCCTGTAAGCCCTGACTAAATCGGCAGGCCGGGTTCCGTAACAAGACCAGCTTCCCGAACTTCCAGCACTCAGGGAAACGTTCCAAGCTAGCGTCAAACACCTCCATGAGGCGGTCTGACATGTGGTCGAGAGCTCGGGCCAGCACTCGGGCAGCTCGGGCCAGACGGGATACGCCGTCTGGTCTGGGGTCGGTGTTCTTGGAGCGGATCTGTAGAACAGCCGCTCTTACCTCCGAAGAGTGCCAGAACCAGTACCTAAGGAAATGCTGTTGTACTAGAATGTTTGTACTTAATTGGACTTTAATAAATACTATTATTATATTATTACTGTTTATAAGCGCTAGAGGACCCTGAAACTTTTCGTTTAGCTATTTATAAAATAAGCATTAACACACTATATGGAGTGGCTCAGTATATAGGTATATGTAGGATATCACCGTCTAGAAAAAAAGTCCATACGGTAGTAACTAGATATTTACGTACGGAATAAATATCATTTGGGCGTGTCTAGTACTTAAGAAACCTCAAAAGAAGTAACCGCATATTTTCATAAGTAGTTTTAATAAATAATTAAAAGCAAGAAGGAAACTATCCCTTTAGAATTTTAATGACAACTAAGTAGTAAAAGGCAAATAAAAAAGAAATGTAGAAAATATATAAAGCCTTTTCGTAACGTTCGTTCAATCGTTATTCAATTTTCAAAAAAAAAAACAGTAGAATGAAAATAAACTCGGTACCTCAATAGAAGCCGTGTGGGCGTGGTACGAAAATGTCAAAGGTTAAAACTGTGCGTAGGTGGATTAGTCTTGTTCATTACGATGTCCTATTTTATCTTTTTTGGTCTCTTTTTCCATCGAACTATGTAGTTGATTTTAAGAAAGCCTCAAATAGGTAACTTGCAATGGTATTTGTGAAAGGAAATAAATTAAAAAAAAGAATGACCAATCTCAATGCGCCTAAATGTTAATAAATTGTTATAAGATAATTGGATAATTGGCACTCCACCACTGTGTGCTTTTTAAGACGATGTGTGCGCTCAATCTGTGAAACAAATTATCGCCTGCGGTATTTCTGGACCGATATGACCTTCAAACCTTCAAGAACAGAGCGTACTACTTCTTTAAAGGGGGGGTTGCGCGCTTGCGACCCCTGATTTTTATGCGTTCATGGGCGGCGATAGTCGTTCATGGGCGGCGGTAGTTACTTTCCATCTGGTGACCCGTCTGCTCGTTAGCCCCTTTTTCTCTTTCGCTTTGATCTAGGCTGCTACATGGCTGCTGAGATACTGCAGTGATGTGGTAGTATGTTGTGATGTATTGGCATTTATCACGACACTCCAGCACACTTCCATATCAGTGATGTGGAAGTATGTCGGGACACGGTGACGTCCACACAGATACTCTGTAGGATGAGGTTGTTCAAAAAATTTATTTTTATTTTTATTTATCTTAGGAAAGCTTACAGACTAATATTAACATACACTGCTGCGTAACGCTTAAATTGTTAATAAAAGCTTCCACATATAAATAACCTAATTATAAACCACAGTTATACATAATATTCCCAGTTGATCTGAACAGCAAGTGTCAGCAAAAAATAAAAACGAAACCTAAATTATAGGCAACACAAAAAAAAAACAAAAAAATAATAATAATTAAAACAGATAAACAAGGTAATTCAGTAGGCATATCTACCGGTCGCTGCCAAAGAAATATTTACTGAAAAGTCTTTTGACTGTAGTTGAATTTGTACAAAACAGATCTAAGTCCAACTTTGATGCCACATCAGTAGAGCTCTCAGCCGCACGCAAAAGATACGAGTTCCGCCTATAGTTAGCTACAGGTAAAGGAACGTGTAATAGGGGACGATGTCTAAAAAGTAATTGATTCGTTCAAAGTGTGATATTGCTTAGCAATTTTGGACAATCAATGGTTCCATTGGCGATGTTTATCAGGAAACATTTGTCACTAACAGTTCGTCTCTGTTGCAAAGGCAAGAAATGATAACGCTTGCAATGTTCATTGTAATCGGCAGAGTATTGTTGGGCTTTAATATCTAAGTAACGCAAAAACTTTCGCTGAATACCCTCTATGCGCGATTTATAAATTAGATATTGTGGATTCCATACCTGTGACGCGTATTCAAGAAGACTAGGTACATAGGCGCAGTATAATTTTTTTACAGTTTTTAGAGATCGGAAACATGTACACATTCTCACTACAAAACCCAGTGCTTTCAGAATTAAAAAGAAAAATTGGGCTATGACTTTCTTTAAAGCCCCGTCTATATTTATAACAAAATTTAATCAATATTGTATTATTTAAAAATTTCCTTCCTTTAAGAGAGAAGAGAAAAGGTGCCCTTTTAGAACTTACTACTACCTACCTACTTTACCTACTTCGTTGTCCATCTATCTATGGCCTCTTTCGTTTAAGAAATTTTTAACAGGAATACGTCGAGGTTCAATTTTGAATGGCTTTGGACTGCAATTTACTACTTTGAGGGGTTTCTTAACATTACTATGACTTTAAATATATAGCTAGGAAAGGAAAAGAAGCTGTTTAGAAATTGTTGACGTGCGTAATCGCATACAAGTGCTTAGTGACCGGTTACTAGTTCATCGATCGCGATGACCTAATGACCTGATTCCTTGAACAGTGCATTTCACCTAGATATAGATAGAATCAAAACTAAAGCCACAGCTAATTTTCTCTTACCTATACCTATTTATAGTGATCTTATTACCTTACGTGGTATAGAAACCGTTATTGTAAGCGTTCATTAATAAAAGTTTTATTTAAGGTTTTATGGTTAAGCGGTTATTATTACAGAAGGGATGTTTTTAGTACCAGGTACATTCAAACTGATTCAGACTTATTCAGAATTCAGACTGATTTAGATGTTTATTATTAAAGAGAAACTCTAATGTTACAATATTTTTCTTCTTTAGAGATAGGGTGGTTGGAGCTCCATTGAAATAAAAATACTTCTGGTGTTATGGGCACCGCTACCCATCTTTTATCAGTCGTTTTGCAATCCTGTCTGCTAGTGTAATAAACTAATATATGAACGTGTGTTGCGTAGTTGGCCCAACCAAGGAAGTTTATCTCTTGAAATAAAAGAGTTGTTGACTCATACAGGGTTTTATGTGAGTTATAACTATTAAAAAACGCTCTCATCCTTCCTTACTAAAAGAAAATTCTGTTATATCCTTCTGATGTCTCCAAGATGTGATGACATCACAAGGCTATAACATTATGAGGTGTGATGACCCCAAAAAATCAAATCATTTGGAGTCATCACATCTCTGTTAATCGTTTGATACCTGTAAAATCGATAGAAAGCACAAGTTTGATTGATGTCATTAACATCAACAACCATATCGAGGGACATGTAATATAGTGAGGAGTTGCTTTGTTTTCAGTGCCTGTTACAGAAGTGTCCGTCTAGTTCGAACATCTTTAATTCTAATCTCTCATCACTGTTACCAGTAAAAAACTCCGATCAACTGAATGACATATTGTATGTCTTTGATGACTAAAACAGCCAGCAACTGACGCTAGAGAAAATGGCATTCTAAATCTTTACAATGAGTACCAGCGTACATAATTAAGCCGTCTAATTGTTATGCTTCCTCATAAAAAGTCAGTTCTCCACTACCTCAAAAGGACCAGCGCATATATTTTGAGCATTTTATTAAAGGAATAAGTAAAATAAGATTATATTTTCACTCAATGAATATATTTTGTTCGTTTATATTGATACAATTTCATAGCTCGCTAAGGTTCGGATTTGTATCCAGAGGTACATTTTCAGTTACAAGTAGGCAATAATTAAAAAAATAACTATACATTAAAATACGGTAATGCCTATATAAAATACAAATACACAGATGGCCATGTACATAATAATGTCATGTATCTACTGTTAGAAAACATTCTGAGCAATATTTTACAAAATGGCATCTAAGTACCAGGTTTGCTCAAATTACAAATTTTTTTTATTAAGACGGTTACTGGTAGAAATTTGCGTAGGTAAAACTAAAAGGTTAGAAAAACAAGCCTGAAGTAGAGAACCTTAACTGTTATTTACCAATATATATATATATATATATATTTCTTGTAACGTTTAACATCGACTAGTAATACTTTACACAACATTACGAACTAATTTAAAGAATTGGTTAGGATAGTAGTTAGGAAGTAATTTGACGTTTCTTTAAACAGATATGTACTTGAGAGATACTAGACTTACTCGATCTTAAATGGTGATTAACAATGAAGATATTTAGGATGTTCAAAAACGTGAATACAAAACTCTCTAACTATGGAGAAGCAACACTTCATATAACAGTAGCAAATAGATAAAGGAATGACAAAGTAGATTTTTTTAGTGTTTTTATCGGTCTCATAGACCAATTGCGTTATAAATGTTAGTTAAGAAGCGGTAAAGCTAAAATATCACGTATCCTCTGTTTTTCGAGAGAATCTTAATCCTTATAGATAAATAGATATAGGTATATATATACATACTACATGTTAGTTTTGCTTTGCAAAGTTCGTTTCTGGTATTATCAGCTTAGACCGTTAATACACGTTTAACTTAAAACAATGACTTAGCACCTGAGAGAAGTTACAATGTTTACCTCATGATAGGCCAATAAAACAATTTTTAAAGGATTAATGAACCAAATACACTTTTTTTTGAGATCATTATATCTATAAAACATGACGGAGAACAATTTTTACAAAACTTTAGTTAAGCTTGCCTTTGATTTACCATTGGTAGAAATAAAGACATTCTTTTGCAATTATACTTGCAAAACTAAAAAATATTACGCATCATGTCTTAGGTTTTGATGTATTGAACCTATCTAAATAGGTAATATTTAGTCTTAGATGATCAGTACCTACACACATACATATTTACAAGTAGCACACATTGTGCATAGCAGCTGCCAATTGAAGGGAGCAACTTGTTTATTTCATAATATTCTATCATGCATTATTCAGTCATCAACTCATTTGTTCAATGGGATTATAGTCACATTTTGTACCATCATTTATACATATTTCACACTTTTGCATACCTAAGATTAGTACTGTATCGAAAGTATGTATTTATAGAGATAGAAAAGGATCTTCTAAACATTTTTTTTGTATTAATAATTATTGACACAAAATTACTTAATACTCGAAGTGGACGACAAAACTTTATGAAATGGATACATTTTTACGCGTGGTAATTTTTTCTTTCTTTGTTGGTTAGAGACGCGAAAGTTGCGTTTGTCGCCGCTGCGTAACTATTATTCTACATATTACTCAGTCTCATATTTGTTGGCGATATTCCGACGTATCAATTTAAGTGGCAATGCGGTGTTTTAGGCCTCGAAGTTCCACGACAAGGTCGGAGTCATCTGCTACAAAACGCTTATCAATTCTTCGTCCGTTTGCGGCATTCTGTTAACAAATAAAAAATATTAAATATATTTTATAATGACGTATATATTAGTGTGAATTGTTTACGTAGATGCGCATAAAGCTATCTGAGGTGATGCTAACGTTAATACAGTCTCGGCACCGATTGACCCGGCTTCAGGGGCCACTGTGTCACCCACCACCCCCAACCCGGGCCATGCTATTTTTAGACTTCGGTGTTTCTATAGTTAAATCGGTAAGTTCTAAAACAACGAAACATTAGTTTTTGCTTACGTTGGGTACTTTTTAATAAGTTAAGAGTAAAAATTCTAAGTTAAATATAGAAGTTCTGAATATAATTGCAATACGTACTTGTGAATTCGTTTTTGGTGATTTGTTGGCAAAATAGTGTGTAATGGTGTCGTAGAATGCATTGTTGTTACGTTTCATTTGACTTTTTTGATGTCCATGTGAGTATGAGCTTTGCGCAGGTCGTGGCATCACAACTTCCTTTTCACCAGCCTTAGGGGCTACAGTGCTAATAACTGGGGCAGCCGTCGTCGCTTTGACACTTCTCTTATTTCCATTCCAGTTAATAAATCCATCATCAGACGCATAATCATCTTCATCATATCTAGGTACAGTTTTAGGTACATGATAAAGAGGCTGTCCCGCTAAGGCTTTCAGCTCGCGGACATCTTCGTCCTCGACATCGTGTTCCTCGTAATCAACAGGCGGGAAAGCTGCACGAGCATTCTCCCGCCGTCGTTGCGCGTCTTGAGCCATCTGAGTAAGAATTAGATTGTCAAGAAACGCTGCATTGACGTCATCAACATCATTGGGTTGCCAGCGGGGCGTGGTGTCACTCTCAAACCAGGTCTCTTGTCCAATTGGTAAAGCTGCTATTCTGTCTTCCTGTCTCTTAGGTGCTTCGTTTGGTATGAAGTGGCCATATGGATCGTAGATGTATGGGTATGGTACTTGAGCATGCATATCTGGTACACTCATCGCTGGGGCGTCATAAATATACTGAACTTTTGGTGTGTAATAATATTCATCATCCGGGTATTCCCGGGAAGTTTGTGGATACATAGGCCAACCTTGCATGGGATAGGCCTTCGATTGTGCTAGTAAGTAGCCAAGTAAGACTGACAATATCCTAAAACAATAAAAAAAATCATGTGAACACTGTGTTTTTTTTTTCACAAAATTACTAGGTAATTGGCAGATATTTAAAAAAGTATCAGAAATTTATAAAACCAAAAGAATAAATGATTTTTGATTTTTCTAAGAGTTTTTTTTTAATTCTGTTTGTTTAATTTTATTGCATTTAAATAAAACAAGTAGACTTACCTGAAGCTCGAAAGCCGCATGTTGCACATTTTCACTATTTAGTGTTACTCTGATCTCGGTCTAGTCACGACTACACATTGGCGAGGAAGGCCGGGCGCCTTTATAAGCAGTCGCCTACGCGCGCCGCCCACACGTTCTCAATGAAACAGCGCCCCCGGCCCACCCCATCCCCATCACATCCCATCAGCCCACCTCTCCCCAAACGCCTCAACCCGCGGTATTCTGTATCGATCGCGCCCACAGATTATTCATCTTGCTAAGCTACGACACTGGTTATTATACCCGATGAACTGTTGACGATTGACGAGCATTTTTGTTTGTATTGTATTATTATTTTTAGCGCAATTAACTTTAGAGAAGTTTACTGCTGCCCTATTCAAAAGAGCACTAACTTTAAACCAAAATTATAGACTGCCTTTTGGGATGGCATTTTCTTTACCGTTGGGAAGTATAAGTTGTATGGAGATAATATTGAGCGCGTGTAACAGGGGAGGCGTATTGTAGCTGCCAGTATAAATTTAGGAATGAACGTCTACAACAACATATATATAAATATATCGTAAAGGGACTTAAGCTTACTTGAACTACTTGAAAAATTTAAATTTAGATCTATGGTATCCAAAGCTTTTGTCTAGGTTTGAAAAAGTAAATCAATTATCTTCAGACATTTAAAGGGACAGAATCTGTTCTTGTTTGATCTCAACAGTTATTTCTAGTCTAAGAATTTATATTTTCTGGAATACAATAAACTATTCAATGCAAGATTAAAAAAATATTTTTATTTTATTGGGATCTTTGTTTATTGACAAATATGATAGTTTTTCATATTTGTCATTATAATCGTTCATTATGTGTATCATCATAAATTAATGAATTTATTTATTTTTTTAAAAATCCCCAAAGCATTGTTTCAAAAAATAATAATTAATACTTGGTAAAAGAGTAAGGTAAGCGGAATTGTACCATTTACGAATTCTTCGTCACTGGGTTGGTTCGTTGTAATATTGTGAGTTAACATGTAATGAGTCATGTTTCAATAGAACATGATGTAAATTTTCATGAGGAAATTTTAGCGGTTGGTTCGCTATTATAATTATTATTCCCTGTAAACATTGGCACCGATACGAACGAAATAACATGTAGAGCTTTCGTAGAGTTTTCGTAGCGTTTTCATTCATTCAGTTAGTCATATACAAAGCTTCATTGTATTATGGTGTATGTGTGAGGGCAATTAACTGGAGAAATTCCTATGGCCTTAGTTTCGCAGTTGTGTAGTACTTTGTAGAGGAAAAGTAGATATGCGTCAAGGTTTTTTAAAGTAGATTCGTTTAGAACAATCTTAAAGCATGTTTGGCTTTCGATGAGATATTTTACCATTTTTCGGTAAAACTGTTACTACTTATTATTAACCGTCAAATATTATTGTTTAATAAAGTACATAATAAATAAAACTACGTTATGACTGGCTATAATGATCGATGCCATAACACCATGCCACAATATACCAAAAGTAAAATAATTCACTTTCGTTTGTATGAAAAATTAGCCTATGCTACTCGTTGATAATGTAGCATTCAGTCATATTTTAACGAACGACTGTTTAGTCATATTTAGACGAATGTTTTACAACTTTTTTAGTTTTTTATCAGTCCGCCTGTGACCATGGAAAGTGCAAAATGTTCGAAACGTAGGTCATTTCAAAGCTATTTAATTAATATCTATACTTCTTTATTAATGTACGTAGTTCACACATTTTTAGGATTCTTGTTAAAAGAATGGCGTGTTTTTAACCGTTCACAAATGAAGAACTTATACTTGGTTCTATGTTAGAAATTCTTGCAGGTTTAGAAAATTGTGGTCGTTTATATACTTACGTATATACTTTACATATTCTGTACTTTTTACTTCTTTTATACAAAAAAGTTACCAAAGAACCGAAAGACTAGCAGTAATACTACTTATTTTGCAAACGACGTCTTTGCTCCTGAGAAGTTTACCCTGTTCTATTCACAATCTGCTACTATGCCTGACCGACTTCTTCTCATGTGTCTACCAGTATAAATATACTGTGGGATAGCTTTCTTGTTTTACAATATATTTAATAAGACACAGTGACATTAAGTATGATAAGACTGTGTGCAACTACATTTGTACCTGATTTTTAAATGTCTTATAATTTAGACCAAATATAAAGTCAATGATTTGACAACTATTTAGTGTTTAGATAACTCATTATTTCACAGCAAAAGAAAAACTAATATTAATTGATTTGTTACGAAATTATAGAAAACTATGAAGTATGATTATATGAAAATTAATAATCAATTTTTCTTACTAATAATTCAAAGCGGCAACCTAGATTTAGAAAGCAGTATGTCATGAAAAAGAAGAGTCTGGAGCGTTATTAGGTTATAGCCACTAATAATGTTTCCAGATAGGTTTGTGGCTAAACCTTCCGTGGCAAGAAAATATAAAAAAAACTTTGTAATCAGGAGTAACTTTGTGATAATATAGCTTCAAATAAACTCGCGTCTTTGCATTTAATCTCAATACGTAATACATATGCCATGTATATTTACAAATAGAACCTTTGCGTAGAAAATGTAAGTCAGTAGATCGATCATTACTGTATCGAAAGAGCTGACTCATCATGATCATCATCATCAACAGCCTTTGCTAGTCCATTGCTGGAAATAGGCCTCTCCTTAGAAAGGAGGTTTTGACCTACACCTTACTACCTCCTTGTCCATAGTGGTATAGTGGTGGTCCATAGTGGTGGTCCATAGTGTCCTCCTTGGCCATAGTGGTATAGTAGGCCAAAACCTACTTTTTAAGGAGACGCCAGCAGTGGACTATAAAGCTGTTGATATGATGTTTGATGATGTGATTATCACTGTAAAATCTTGTATTTTAGTTTGTGAAGAATTTTCTTTGTACGCAATAGTATAGCACTTATTAAGGCACTTAAAGTCCACCACCAGATAACCAGGCGGCATAATACCATTATTAAATGTCTGTCTCTGTTATTTGATTCATAATGTCATTATATTAGTTACGATGAAATTCACTTCATATAACCGAAAATAGCCAGTAATATGCTAAAAAAACTTGCTCTATGTTTAGAACATGAAATATGATTAGTACATGATCATTGAAAATACATTGTAGGTTAATGATATTATCAGTCAGTATGACCCTCAGACTATGTAGACACTTTGAAGGCAACCGTATAGACATTGTAGGTACTTTGAAACAATCGAGTTACTCGATTAATGTAGTAAAATAAAATTAACATTATAGCTGTAACTTTAGACTCACATTTGACCAGCACTTATTTTTCATTTTTTTTTATTTAATTAGCGCATGGAAGAGCTACAATTGTTAAAAACGTTACAGATTATAATAGTCACATGAAAGCAAATTACAAGTCGTCACGTATAACACTATATTAATATTATGAAATGCAATCTAAAAAACAGTATAAAAATTTACAGACTAAGTAAGCCGAAGCACAACCTCACATAGCCACTTGTGTTATATGTATACATTTTAGGTTTTAACACACATTACAAAAACACTAATAGCGAAGGGGTCAATATCGTCCTGTTTGCATAATTTGTTGAATTTTCTCCTTGCCTGCAGAAGATCACTATTTTGCCTATAATACGATGTAGTTCTAGGTACTCTTAGGGGTGGATTGAAATTAGTTGATTTGCATGGAATATTAAAATATATTTTGGCTAAAAGCTCAGAGCAATCTTTATCGTTATTCAGTACTTTTAGCAGTCGTTGTTAACCGGTGGCCCGCGGACCACTGGTGGTCCCTGGAGGCATTCCAAGTGGTCCGCGAAGTATTTAGACGTTTCGAAATGTTATTTTCAGAGGTCAATTAAACGTTTAAAGACGAGTTATTATTTTCTCTAGAACTTGAAAAGACGTTGCAAGGTGCTATGTTGTGTATGTAATAACTCAATATTAGGAGAAACGTGGACTAATATGGGAAAAGCATGAGAGATTCGGACAGTGCTCCTGCTACGAGTATGCTTGGTTCTCGCTCTGGTCTTACAGCGTTGGTAAATGCCAAAAATTCATCCGCAATTACGACGTTATTCATCGTCAAGCATTAGCCACCTAAAAGCTTATGGAATGCTTTGCATTGACGATGAAAACAACTATAAATGTAGTTAACTTTATTGAAAAGAGTGCACTTAATACTCGTCTTTTGAAACAATTGTGTTTTTGACAAAAACTCTGAACACGAAACTCTACTTTTCCACAAGGAAGTCCGTTGGCTTTCGAAAGGAAACATGCTGGCCAGGTTGTAAGAGCAAAGATAGGTACAAATATTTTTAACTAGCAAGGAAAACAAAGAGTTCTTTGATCAGTTCTGTGAGCCCGAATAATACGTTTTGCTTATTTAGTCGATTTTTGCGCAAGTGAATAATTTGAACCTTCAACTGCAAGCGTCATGAAATTTGAAGTTGCAAGTGCATATTTGCGTATGAAGACAAAATCTGGGCGTTTATCGCTAAAATCGAGCTATGAATCAACCAGGTCGAAAGAAAAATCTTATATGCATTTGATACGCTCAACCAAATTATTAACAGTCATGGTGCAGAGATTAAAGGAGAAATGCAGAAGAAAATAATACTCCATTTAACAAACTTAAAAAGTGAATTCAATCGCTATTTTCCTGAATGCAAGGATGAAAGTATCCAAAAACTGATCATCTGATATCGTTTTAAAGTCCTTCATGTCGTCCGCTAAGCAGATGCTTTACTATGATCAGTATAAATGACATCGACCTGCCCACCCCGTCCATCGCCTGCGATATGTGATCATTTAGCAAAATTAGATTGGTCACAGTTGACCGCCCCTTCAGAAACCCGTGTTGAAATGGACTTAGTGACTTTTTAATGGCCGGGTGAAGCTGGTTGTCAATGATCCTCTCAAATATTTTAGCTATGATACATAGTTTTGATATGGGCCTGTAATTGGTTATTTCAGTTTTTGAACCTTTATGGAGCAC